TCTGGGCTGTGAGCGCCCGGGCACTGGGACTACAGGGCCTCTGTGGGGAGAGGCCGTGGCTGGTGCTGCCCCCCTACCACAGGGCACAGCCCAGCCCCTCGGCCACCGTGGCAGCACCTCAGGGGACGTGGGTTTAAAGAAGGGCAAAATGATGCTGGCAGCAAGGAGTGAGGGAGCAAGTGTGAGGAGTGGCCCTGTGAGCCCAAAGGGGAAAAGAGGAGAGGAGGGGGAAGAGAAGTGGCCTTGTGAGCCCCAAGGGGCTATAGGCTGGGGCCAGCCGTTGCCCTGTTACCAGAACACATTCGAGTGCCACTGCTGTGGGAGTTAAGTGTTGGACATTTAAATAGACCAGACACCACAGGAAGAAGGAGGCATTTTAATGTTTGTGCTGTTGAAGTGTTTTGCTAAAGCACTACAAAGTGACCTCATAGGGAAATTCTAATTAATCAAATAAATTAGAGGCGAGGTATTGGAGGGTAAGGGAAATGTGCTCTTGCGCTTGTAAACTCCAGACCCCAGAGAGGAAAGAATCTTCACTGAGCGCTGTAGCTGTTGACACAGCTTCTGTTATGGTTACATCTGTGTGTGCTCTTCTCGGTCTGGCTTTGCCAACATAGCTAAAAGAGAGTCATCTGGAGTCTCGTCTTTCTTTGCATTGTGCTTCAAATTCCTTAGTAAGGTCTTGAACCAGGCATTATTGAAGTTGATGGTAGCATTTCAACAAACAGTAGTGAGCGTCGTTCGGGTCTACCTCTGTCCCTGTAAGTGACATCAGGTTGGTTTAGCGTGGCAGTGATGAGTAAAAAGGACAAGCTAATTCTCAAATTTTAAGGGTGTGAAGCACACTGGTTATTTGGCAAGTTTCGTCACACACGTGGTGTTCAGATGATTTTAAAGCACTGTGTACAAGACAATGGGAATCTGTCTTGTCCCTTTGTCTTTGCCTGGCCTGTTTCTTTTCTCTCTAACTTTTTATATCTAATCATGTAGATAGTAGGTCATAGAAAAGATCATAAAATAGAATAATTAGGGTTGGAAAGGACCTTAAGATCATCTAGTTCCAATCCCTCTGCCATGGGCAGGGACACCTCACACTAAACCATCTCACCCAAGGCTTCATCCAACCTGACCTTGAACACTGCCAAGGATGGAGCATTCACAGCTTCCTTGGGCAACCCATTCCAGTGCCACAGCACCCTTACAGTAAAGAACTTCTTCCTTATATCCAGTCTAAACTTCCCCTGTTTAAGTTTGAACCCGTTACCCCTTGTCCTGTCACTACAGTCTCTAATGAAGAGTCCCTCCCCAACATCCCTATAGGTCCCCTTCAGATACTGGAAGGCTGCTATGAGGTCTCCATGCAGCCTTCTCCAGGCTGAACAGCCCCAACTTCCTCAGCCTGTCTTCATACAGGAGGTGCTCCAGTCCCCTGATCATCCTCGTGGCCTCCTCTGGACTTGTTCCAACAGTTCCATGTCCTTTTTATGTTGAGGACACCAGAACTGCACACAATACTCCAGGTGAGGTCTCACAAGAGCAGAGTGAAGGAGCAGGATCACCTCCTTCGACCTGCTGGTCACGCTCCTTTTGATGCAGCCCAGGATACCGTTGCTTTCTGGGCTCCAAGCGCATACTGAACCCTGCTCATGTTCATTTTCTCATCATCCAACACCCCCAAGTCCTTCTCCACAGGGCTGCTCTGAATCTCTTCTCTGCCCAACCTGTAGCTGTGCCTGGGATTGTTCTGACCCAGGTGCAGGACCTTGCACTTGTCATGGTTAAGCTTCATGAGGTTGGCATCAGCCCACCTCACAAGCATGTCAAGATCCCTCTGGATGGCATTCCTTCCCTCCAGGGTATCAACAGAACCACACAGCTTGGCTTGGTATATCATTAAATCTTCTTAATATATGTGCGAAGATAAAAGGTGACAGCTGTAATGGAAAGAACTGATCACAAATTACTTTTTTTCGTGGCAATGTCTATGGTAAATCTGTAATATGCTTAAGGAAACAGAGACCATTCTTACCAATAAATCGATGCTACTTCATTTTGGGTGACTGTCCACCGAGGATCAGCCTCGCTGCAGTTGGCCTCAGAATATCATTGACGTTGGTCACAAACAATATACTCTTTAATATCCAGGGTACAAAGTCCCTTTGACATCTGCCATCTCCATTCCACAGTCAAACTCTCACTGGTGCAATATCAGCTGTAATTGAACTTGCAAATTGCTTTGCATTCTGAAATGCTGACTGCTTAATTATGATGGGGAAAATAGCATTCTACAGCCGCGAGCTCAGTAACTTTGTCACTCAGAAGCTATGGAATTATACATGTGAATAATACTTGCTGTAATGTATGTTAATACCAGTGCAATATGCAGAAGGACCGCTCTGCAGACGTGGTCTTACTTCAATGTGGAAAGGAGCAGAAGCAGAATAGACCACAAAATAGAGAGAAGGGAGGAAGTGCTGGCCAAGGCCTTGCTTCCTTTTATCCAAAAGGTGTTCAAGGTAGAATTGTGGAATGGTTTGGGTTGGAAGGGACCTCAAAGCTCATCCAGTTCCCACTCCCTGCCATGGGCAGGGACACCTTCCACTATAGCAGGTTGTTCCATGCCCCATCCAGCTTGGCCTTGAACACTGTCAGGGATGAGGCAGCCACAGCTTTTCTGGGCACCCTGTGCCAGTGCTTCACCATCCTTATAGTGAAGAAATTCACCCAAACAAGATTCAAGAGGTTGTACGGTTCAACTCCCAGCTCAACCCACAGGTTTTCCATGGGGTATTGCCCAGTCAGTTTATCCTTAGCTTCAGGTCTTCATTTGAAAAACAGGGACTGCAAGGACCTTGTTTTTCAGGCGTACTCTGATGGTTAAACACAGAGATTGCTTTGAGGTGTTTGAATACTATGCTACATGAGTCAGCCTCAGTATGTGTATAACAAAATGGAAGCCTTTCTTTCCAAACACCGTGATTATGATGCCACATTTTTTTGAGGAATTGTGTTTCTGAAAACCACTGTTTCATTTCAGCCTGGAGCAGCAATGACAATGCAACTTTAAAACTTCTAGTCTGGCTGAAAGGGGCACATTTAAGACCACACAGAGATACGACTCTCATCCGGAGGTGACTCTGGATGAGCTGTCTCAAACATCAAAAGCTGTAAATCACTGTAACGTGCCATAGCTTTGCTGCTTCCCTGTGTAGCAGCTATCCCATTTGGATCTTGCCCGTTTTTTCCTGTATAATGTTGCTAGTGTGGTTTGAATGTACACCACAGACCATATCTATAGCCCAGTGAACTCGGTGCAGAGTCTTTCTCTTAAATGGATTTTAGCTCAAGGTAACTCTTTGATAGTACCTGATATCATTTGCATACATAACGTCTCTCTCATAGGTTCACACAGCACATAGGTTGTTCAGAAAGTTTTACTTTCATGGAGAACCTCAGTGTTGAGCTTCTTCCTGATTTCCTCCATCAGACATCTTTTCTTGTGCAAAGGGAAGTGTGTCGGCCTCTGTCTGTGGCTGAGTTATTACTCTATAAGAAAGCAGCTGTGGAGCCTGACAAGATTACACTCAGATTACAGTCTTAAAATAGTGGATGGACTTGATGGTTTTCCTTCCAGCCATCGTACCATTGTTGTCATAAGAATGAATGATAATTGCATTGCTCTGTATTGTCACTGCATTCCTTGTGGTATGAATAGGTTCATTTAGTGGCACCATCTTGGGCTGTTATGAAAATGAGAGATCTGAACTTAAGTCTGTTACATCTTTTCCTTTCTGATTCAGAGCCAAATCCTAGGGTCTGAGCGCAGAATTTAAGTAAATGTTGTATTTGCATCCTGTGGTTACAAGCTTTACAAAAATGCTGCTACTTTTTCATAAGCTAGAAAAATACCTGCAAGTTTACGTGATTTTAGGATTAAAATGGATTGACCCTAAAAGGAGATAGGAGCAGAGTTAGGAGTAGATCTGATTTCTTCCATTATTCAATGCCGAAGTCAGTTGACATTTTATAGAGATACTATGCTGAATAGTTTGGGCTGGGGACAAGAGGTAAGAAATTGTCATTGTTGAGAGTCAGATGCTTTGAGATTCTTCTGAAATTTGGAAGATCTGTTTTACTGCAGGCAGTAACTGAGTTAACTAAACCTATGTGGTTGAGAATATCTACAGATGAAATCTAGACAAAAATACCAGGCGAAGAAAAATGCCTCAGATTCTTTCAGTTAAGCATTACTCCTCAAACACAGACTACTGGATTATTTCTTTTCTTAGTCTAAATGTACCAGTTGACACCCTAAAATCAACTTTATGCAGGAGACTTGACAGGGAAATTCATCCTGATGTAATAAGCACAGCTCCACTGAGATGAACGGAGATATTTAAGCTGAGGCTAGGACTCAGCTTTCTAATTTGCCAGCAGCATATGAAATGATCATTTACATTGGCGCTCCAGTGAGATATGAATTGAAAGGCAAACATAAAAATTACAGTCAAAGCTTAGTTCCCACTCCAAAGGTGGTTCAAAGCTTTGCTTTGCTTGCATTCATATACCCATTGACTCACATTCAGAGGAGGTCAAAGTTACCTGTTCCTTTGCTCGGTGCTCTGTTTGCTAGTTTCTGGGTTTCCTCTGGAAAGCAAGCTTTCTTTTTCCCTAGAAGGCTCCTTTCCTTGATAGGCTTTGGTTTATTTTCTCTGTTCTTGTAGCCCTCTCTAAGCCTTATTTCCCACTGCCCTTGATTATCTGTAGACACTGATTATGAAATGAATTATCTTTGGTATAGGTAAAGGGGTGTGCAACAAATAAGGCTGAAAATGAGGTAAGAGTAATAAAAGAATATAGGAATAACTGGATGAAGGCCAGTCTGATGATGGTAGGATCTTTCACACACACCCTTGTCTGAGTTGAACATAATATCTGTGAGTTACAAAATCCCTACTTGAAGTTAATTGGTGCTTTCTCTGGATCTGTGTTTCTCTCAGGACAGATATCAGTGGATGGATTTATGCGATACCTGAGTGGAGAAGAAAACGGCGTTGTTCCACCTGAGAAACTGGATTTAAATGAAGATATGTCTCAACCACTGTCACACTATTTCATCAATTCCTCACACAACACCTACCTCACAGGTACAGTATTAGAGAGATTGGAATTCTTATCTTAGAAAAGTTCATAGCATATTTGCAGTGATACCATAAAATGAACTAAAAGCATCAGCATTGAACAATGATGGAGCTTAGTTTTCAGGGGAGCAAGGGTAGCACATGATTGTTGTTCTAGCTGCTGCACACATACATTAAATGCACTTCTATTACACTTTTTATATAGGTGGGTAGCAGTTGTGTTAAGTAAAGGTCTGGTCTGAAACCCAGTGAAGTCCATGGGAAGTTTCCCTCAACTTAGATAGGGTTCTAGATTATGGCCCTTTTTTGGAAGGAGAGGGAACAATGCACTTTTTATGACAACTAAGGAAAGCCAAACAACTGTGCGAAGCAGAATATGGGAAACATCTCTGTAGCTAATAAATTTGCCCCTAAGCATTAAATCTGACAGTTTGTTGAGCTCCATGAAATCTCTTTGATTCGGAGATTAAGAGAGGTCCCAACATGGCACATAGCTGTCTGACAGTCCATTTGTATCTGCAAGGAATGGAAATCTGGTCTCTGACTATCTAATGGCTGAGCTGAAATTTGTAGGTGCTGTCATGTGTTTAAAAAGGCTGAGAACCCAGAAGCTCCCATTAATTTGAATGAATGAGTCTAAGCTGCATTGTTTGCACAGCAGTCAGCGATGCCTTAAGATTCCAAAAACCTAAGACAGTTGAGGAATGCAACTTTAGGCACTCATTTTTCAGTCTAAGATGCTGTCACCTTGCGAGAAAATAATTGTAAATTCACTATTTTAGTTTAGTTTATGTAGGAACAAACATTTTTGAGAAGCAGACGTGCACAGGGAGTTCTTCCCTATCTGATTTGGTGTTTGCCTTGTCTTGCCATGTTTGCTAATGATTTAGCATTATGATAAAAAAGAAGAAGTAAGGCTACAGCGTGTGCTAAAACCGTGGCTTATGGATAACGTGAGCTTTTAATGTTATTAACTTGCCTTAACTGACCCAAGGTCTTTAGAATGCCAGTATGGCAAAACCTAAACAAAACCATGCAGTGGTGATGCCCAACTTAAACAGACCACTTGGTAGTTACTTTCATCTGGTCTGTGTTTGTTATAGCACGTTCTACAGCACCTTCTAGTGCTTTCATAAGTGAATGGGCTGTCATTGTTTCCATTAGACACCATTTTTCAGAGGTTTATGTCTTGGCTGTGAAATATGTTTTGTGCTAAAAACTTGTCATATAAGGATTTGGCTTGACAGCTATTTTGTTTCTCTAAATTAAAAGGAGTGAAAATCAGTGTGGCCACTTTGAAGTTATGATTCCAATATGCAGAAATTTATACTTGTTGGAAGAGTGCAGACGTGTCCAAAGGAAAAACAATGCTTAATAATGATATTTTGCAGGCCTCTTACCTCCAGGATGGACTTTGTTCTGTCAGGGAGGATTAGGGCCCACTTAAGGCAAACGCTGCAGCTTTTCTGGAAGAAAACAGTAAAGCTGTTGAATGTGGGAAGCATAGGCCCACAGGGAGGACAGACAATGCAGTTTAGAGTTGGTCTGAAGAGATAAAACTGCTCTCCCCTCTATCAGCATGAATTTATAGCTAGTACCATACCACCGATTTTTGATCAGGGTTGATCAGGACAGTCATGTTCTAAAGGTCTAGAAGCACAGAAGCCAAAAAAACCAATGAATTAAGGATGGGACTTCACAATTAATCCAACCTAATCTAAGTCTTTTAACTGCACCACAAGTGACATATTGAATTACTGCAGAAGAAAGCAAGCTTACCTTGAAACTATCCAAATTCACTTTCAATTGTATGTGAAAGTCTGCAAATCATCTCAGATTGCATCTGCAATTTTCTTTGCCTGCATTTGTAACTCATTTCAGAAGCTACATGTAGAAGTATGATCTTCAGTCTCGATTTAACATAACATTCCTGGGTTAGTAAGTTGGAGAGGGTAAACCAGAGTAAACTCGGGGAATAGTGCAAAATAAGTTGGAGTCTCTTCCAAATTCCATTTCAGAGTGTATATTTTCACATTTACAGGCACAAAACACATGTCCTTCTCTTTTAGTGGCAGTGTTCAGTAACTGCGTGGCAGCTGGCCGACAATGGGATTAATGATTTGATTTTGATCTGCGTATTACTAAAGCTGACACCCTTAGCTTTTGCTTTGAGGCTAGACCAGATACAGCAGTCACGTTGCTGTTTGCTTTCTTCCAGCAAGGACTTAGCAAAATGAATAAAATGAATAGTGGCAGACTGTTCTTTTTCCCAAGGTTTCAGTAGGGCAGCTCAAGTGCTCATGGCTTTGGAAGGGAAGCTTCGGTAGCACCTCTGCCCTCTCTGCACATGTGAAATAGCATGTAGTCGTGTCATAATTATGAGGACAATAAGAAATCCATTCAGTCTAGCAATACTTTATGATTACTGTGCTTAATGCCCTACCAATTATCTCTGCCTTTGTTAGTTTTCAAACCCCGAAAAAGCATGCACCAAGAAGCATTACAACATAAAACGAAACATGTGCACACTGAATGTATTTTTAATTATGCCGATCATTTTCCTAGCCTTTGGTAGAAACCCTTGGCAGTACATCAAGTCCTGATTATTTATTTAGAAGTGTTACTGCTTTCTTTTTCTTAGGGAAATGTGATTTTTAAGAGCGAAGGTAAAACTCCATGAAGGAAGAAGTGATTTAGAGCGAAATGTCATCTTTTGGAAACTTTGTTTTACGGTCTCTCATCTTTGTTCTCACTGCTGTCACATTCATTGATTTACTGCTTTGAACACGTAAGGTGCAACCCTGCATTTTTTCTGGTTTCTCCCCAGTCTCACCTCAGATTACTGCTTTTGTCATAGCGGAGAGTGACTTTGCAGCTTTTCTCTCAGCAGCACCCAAAGTCAAAGACAAATGATAACGTATCGTTATCAGAGCTGCACACTTTGGTGGCTATGAACGTCTGTGAACGTGGTGGTGTACGTGAAATGCAAAATATGAAAATCACAAGCCTTTCACATATGTTTTGTCATTGGCCAAAAGGATAAACTATAGCAGCAGTAGGTTACAGAGCCATCAGTGTAGTGCGCATAGCCAATGGGGGGCTGTCCCATTCACCTTCAGCATCTGCCTCCCTCCTAGCAGTCCAGTACTTTCAGTTGTTTCTAGAGGGCATGTTCTCTTCTTTATTGCTGCTGTGGCCTCTCCTTTACTGTCGTCCAGCTTCTCTGGTCTCAGCAATTCCTCAGTTATAACCATTGCTGCGCTCAGCGCTTCCTTGAAATCTTCTTCACCTTCAAAGCCTCCAAAACAGTTTATTCACAGCTTCACAGAATCACAGAATGGTTTGAATTGGCAGGGACCTTAAAGCTCATCCATTTCCAACCCCCTGCCATGGGCAGCAACACCTTCAAAGTTGCTCCAAGCCCCATCCAACCTGGCCTTGAACACTTCCAGGGATGGGGCAGCCACAGCTTCTCTGGGCACCCTGTGTCAGCGCCTCAGCACCCTCACAGGGAAGAACTTCCTAATATCTAATCTAAATCTCTCCTCTGTCAGTTTAAAGCCATTCCCCCTTGTCCTGTCTCTACAGGCCCTTGTAAAAAGTCCCTCTTCAGCCCCTTTACATATTGGAAGGCTGCTGTAAGGTCTCCCCGGAGCCTCTCTTCTCCAGGAATACAATAGCTTTCCGGGCTGCAAGTGCACACTGCTGGGTCATGTAGATCTTGTCATGTTTTCACATGACTGCTAAAGTTTTGAAATCTGAGTGTTCATACAAATACTGTTAAACCCCAGTTTATCTTTTTGTTGTCCTAAGGGATACCTGCCCTCCGTTACCAGCCTCACCAACGCCAGTTCTGTCTTTCTTAAGCCCTATTATAGGTGAGGGAATTTTCACTTCTAAAAGTGACTGGAAACCTCATAAAAGAGAGAAAGAAAAAAGCCCAAATGTATATATTGCATCCTTAAGGCAACATTTATTATTCGAATACACATCAGCAACTGACACCAAAATTTCTAGAGGCAGCTTGCATCCAGCACCAGCAGATGTGAATATAAAGAGTTTTAAAATGCATTGTTTGGTGTGATGGGAGATAACTGGACTTTCAAGAAGGAGAAGAAAAGTCAAGATCATGAAAGTGTTTGTTTCCTTTAAGTCACGTTTCAGTCACTCACTACTGCTTAGTGAGGTTTCAAGATCCCCTGTTCCTTCTCTTTAGGCCAACAACTTGAAGGACATTGAGATGAGGGATATGTTGTTTGAAGCATCTTGAAATGAGGAATACATTATTTTCTAAACCTCCTTCTTAAAGGAGGGTAGAACTGTGTTGAGGATCAGGAAACCCCTCTGACTCCAATAGTAGCATTTGAAGATGTTCAAATAGCTGAAGTCGTAAGACAAAGATGCAGAGAGCCAGCAGCAGGGGACAGGCTCTGTAAATAGGTGCCTGCAGGTTGCAGTCCCTCACTGCAGTGGTAGAGATTGGGCTGGTGATGCAGTGTCTTTCTCAAGTGGGTCCCACAGCTGGGGCAAGGGTTACCCCATGCACCCCTTGCCAGATAATGTCCATCCCACAGCCCAGCTGCAGCGTTGGAGCTGCTGCAGTTCTGTTATGGGTTGAGCAGGATTGCAAACCCAGAGGCTGGCCCTCCTGGCATACGCAGGTGTTGCATCTTCTGCTTGGGTGGGCCCGAATCAATACTGACAGCAAGTGTATTCCTGCTGCTGGCTGGAGCAAGCCTGACTGCACGTCCTGCTTTGGTCCAGTGTGGAGTGTTAAAAATAGCAGCCATAGGGTGCGACAAGCAGCAGCAGGACGTGTCGCAGTGTGGGGTCTAATTCTCTTGTTCCGTGCATGGCAAAGTAGCTCGGAAGCAAAAGGAATTCAGATAAATGTACTGTGTCTAAAACCGATTCAGCCGCCAGCACCTTCTGGTGCTGCTGGAGTCAAGCGCCAGACTCCCAGCAGCCCGGGGCTCTGAGTTTGCAGATTGCAAACTACAGCCTATGATCCGGAGCACTGATTGGATTTCCAGGACTTTCCTGAAGAAAGGAGGTTTAGCACCTCGTGTTTGCACATGGCAAAGGGAGCATGCTGGCCCTTCCTGCTGGGCGAAGGTGGTGCCATGGGTGGGCCAGGGAGCAGAAGCAGCCTGTGTTCTAGAGTAGTGAAGAGTGAGGTGACCCCACATATATTGGTCCAAATATCCCCCAAATTTGGGACGATGTTTATCTTAAAATGGTAACTAAATTTCAATTCTATGTATTGCAAATAACTTTCACTTCGAAAAACAGTGGTGGACATACCCCCCACAAGGATGCAGTTGCTGAGAAATGAACAGCTTGAAGTTATAGAGATGTGAAACTGATCCGTATGGAGAAACATGGGTCATGTCCTCAGCTTCTCTCAGTCAGCACAGGCTCATTTTGCTTAGGCATAGAATCATAGAACAGAATCACAGAATAGTTTGGGTTGGAAAGGACCTTAAGGTCACCCAGTTCAGCCCCCTGCCATGGGCAGGGACACCTCACACTAATCCATGCCACCCAAGGCTCTGTCCAACCTGGCCTTGAACACCGCCAGGGATGGAGCATTCACAACCTCCCTGGGCAACCCATTCCAGTGCCTCATCACATGATTTGAAGCAAGTTTTTGCCAAGATCTGGTTTTCCTTATCCGCTGTGGGGTGATGGGATACAGCTATGGCATTACAGTAGATGCTGTGTGTATTACAGAAGGGAAGCCAGGATGCTTTCAATTTCTAGTATTATAAAATTGATCTGTAATCAGGATATGAAAACTACCATACTTGAAGGATTCCCTTTGGTGCCTGTGTTAGCCCAGTTCAGAATGCATCTATTTAAGGGCTGGTTTGGAAAAGATAGAAATAGAGCCTCAAACCAGAAACTGATAAATGATATATGCAGAAAACCATTTGAGGGAACATTCCTGATAGTCTGTATTTCAGAACAAATAAACTCTTGAGGCTATTAAAACATTTGTTAGCATTTTGCACTGTGACTGGGAGCCTTTCTGAAGATTGAACGGTTTGGAGGTTGAATATCCTCTTATCCATAGCAGGAATCCTTCCAAAACGTCTGAGCCTTATTAATAAGGTAGTGTGAAGAAGTGTCATATGGCAAGTGAGGCGTGCCATGACTTACTTAAGCACTTTTGAAGGTTAAGGATCTTGTAGTCTGAAACACTTAGCCATAATAACGGCCAGCAGTCTCTCAGGGAGTACAGTAGAGTTTGTTAATCATAAACCAATTTGTTAATCCAAATTCAATATGCTGTGAGGGAAAAGAACAACAACCTGAAAACAGGTTTTAAAGTGAATGTAGTTTTTAGGCAGCTGAGTTTAGCAGATCCGTATAATGAGAGCAAAGTGTTCACAAGCAGATGCGTAGGGATGAATACACAGAAACTTGTGCTGTCGTATCCTGATCCATGCTCATGCTTGTTTGTATCCTGCAAAGAGCCACTGCATAGCGAAACTGCACCAACGTGGCTTTTGGGTGGGTAGAGATCATCTGCCATAAGCAAAGGGGAAACCAGGAAAAGATAAGTAGAAACGAGAAGGCAGGTCGTCACTTTGCTGACTGCATTTGGTTTTTCAGAACTTTCCAGAACTGACCAAATTATTCAGTTATATATTTCCCATTGCTTCCACTACGGTCTGAGGAATCTTTCTGGATTTCAATAGGAGTAATGTTAATGCCTTGTGGAGTATTTATGGTTGCTCAGGCTCTTGTGTCAGACCCAATGAGTGAACAGGGGTTTTCAGACAGAAAAGGTTTTCTGTTACAGTTGTTAGTGAAAGGTAAGAGCAGAGAAAGCAGACAATGCGAGTTAGTGAAGCAAAACCCAAAATGTGTAATTCCCAATGTAAAACCTAACCCCAGAGGAGGTAAAATGAGGACTCCTCTGCATTATATTATATACTAATTTGAATAAATGATTTATATATCCCCCTTCAGCAAAGAATCTTTAGCTTAGATGAGCTCACTGCCTCCTTAAAATGCCAAGTCAATTCCCTTCTAGAAATGCAGGAATGTCTTCTCAGGAAGTCTGCTAGGAAGCAGGAAATGGCATCCATTTTCCTCACATGTAAAGCCTTCCTTTCCATTACCTTTACCTCCCTACTGCCAGACATTTGTATCCATATGACTGGAATCAAGCCTGTCGCAGCAGATGAAGACATCCTGACTGGATATTCTTCCCTGAATACAACTGGACTTCTTTATTGGTTTATTTGTGGGGTTTGGGGTTATTTTGTACTTCCTGAGTTTGGGAAAAGCGGAATTTTCCTTGTTTATGTTTAGATTTTTATTGTGTCATTGTTGGAAACTGGTAGTTCAGTTAATTTCTCCCTACATAATAGAATCATAGAATCGGGTAGGTTGGAAAAGACCTTTAGGATCATCAAGTCCAGCCAATCTCAGGTCTGCCAATCGTATCACTGAGGGCCTCATCTACATGGGTTTTGAACCCTTAATAATGCAGTGTCACCTCAGGAAATTCAACTGGCCAACTCAGTGTGGTGATGAGTGCATTAAATATAGATTTGAGACCTCCTCATGGTGCCATCTCTACTGAATGCATTGCATGTTATGAGAAAATGTGATCTTGCTGTCGTGGGTCACCTCTGAATTTCACATTGCTTGCCAAAAGGTAACAAAGTCTTTTAGAACAAAGTTCCTCCCTTTCCCTTTCTTTTCCTTTTCTGTACTCAGTGATGTCCATCAGAAGTTGTTTAATTGGTTTCAATCAGTTACTTCTCCTCACTCAGAGCGTTTTAACTGAGGGCAGGATCCAAACCATGACATTGACTCTGCCTTATTTCCATTGCAGTCTTTACGCTTTCTATGTGCCTTTGAGCGTTATTCCCCTGAGCCGAGGGTAAAAGATCCTGTTAACTCTGATTGTTATTAGATCATTTATATTTATTCCCAAATTACTTCCCTGTTTCCATGTCCTTGTGCTGTTGTAGCTGGACAGCTGGCCGGGAACTCGTCGGTGGAGATGTATCGGCAAGTGCTTTTGTCAGGCTGCCGCTGTGTGGAGCTGGACTGCTGGAAAGGACGAACAGCTGAGGAAGAGCCGGTCATTACACACGGATTCACTATGACAACTGAGATATCCTTCAAGGTACGGCTGTGCAGCTCACTGATCTGTGCAGCTGGGGAGGTTTCTTCCATGGGAAATGCATCATAAATACATTGCAAGGCCATAACTGCATAGGTGGAAGGGAATAGAAATGTGATCTTTTAAGAGGAGGTTTCAGAGCATGTGCAGAATCACAGGAGGAGAAGAGTTGCAGGATTTGGACCTTGCACAGGAAGAGCTTCTTGGTCATTCTGGCAGTCAGAGGAAAAAGGATTATATGGTGAGATAGTCTGCGCCATCTGGAGCTGGGCTCAGTGCCCAGGTCCATACTGCTGTGCACATCCCTTCAGTCAATCTCACAGGGAGAGAAACAGGGTAGAGCACAGCCAGGGCTGAAAGAGCAGGTATTGCCGCCACAACTGGTTTTACACAGTGTGAAATGGGTCTGTGGATGCATCTGGAGGATGGGGAGGAAGGACTGGTTGGTGTTACAGCTCTATAGCATGCAGCAGGGAGGAGAGCTGAGACGAAGGCCACAAGCATTTGAGCAGCAGTAAGCAATGCATCAGTGTACTCTTTCTCTCTTCTCTGCCTGGTAGGTGGGTATGGTGGACAGAAGTGCTGAACTGAGGCAGGAAACGGCAGCTATCATGAAAAACTCTTCAGTTTGCAAGCCTTTAAGTTCCTGTGAGCAGAGAAGAGGCTACCAGATGGGCAGGTCCCACCCACAGGGTCCAGACACTCAGCATTATAGTCCCAATTTAAGAAACGAGTAGCAGTGTGTGCAGTGTTACCCTTATCCCCGATAGGTGGGATCAGATCTGAAGCACTGAAGGATGAAAAGGAAAAAATTAGTATCTTTGGAGATTGCAAGGGAATATTTGTGTCATTCAAACCTTAAATATATCATCTGTATTACTGAATTCCATCTTCCATTTCCTTTCTCTGTAATGAAAGGTAGGTACTATACCCTTAGCAATAACTTTAAATTGTTATCTTCCTGTTATTCTTAAAGATGCTTTTGATCCAGTGTTAGAGGGGCATGATGGAGGTGTTCTCCTATAATAGTAAGATTGGTACTCAGCACAGCTTATAATGATAATCAGGATGTCATTTTTCAAGTGTGAAGAAATTGTTCTTCGTCTGAGACACTAACTCACTGTGGAATTATATTTCTAGACTTGCCTATGTGCAAGGTGATGTGGAAAAAAATGATAATGGCTGAATTTGGTAATGTTACAGGTGTTAAGAGTGGCTTCTCTGCTAGCTACAGCTGTGAAGCATGTCTCCCACACTTGAAGCATGAGTTGTTGGGGGGTTTCTTTTGTCTTCCTTTACGGAAAAAAGCAAACAACACTGCCACTACAGACAGAACACCACGTTTTACTCACACCAGAACACTCTTTTTCTCTATTTCAGTTTGTTTTCTCTGACTCTTCACTGATGGAGTTAATCACAGGAAAGCATCAACCAACGTTCTTGCACATTTGTTACTTACTTTCCAGTTCTGTTTATGTGAAGCCAGTGGTGTTTGTAGGCACAGAATTTGGCTGCTGAAAGCCCCTTAATTCAGGAAGATAGCTCTCAACTCCTTTGCTCATGAGCAGGAATTTAAATCAAAGTTAATCTGATTCTTAAAAGGATCAGGAGCAGGAAGGAGGATTATCCCTGGTTACTTGGATGTGTGACCCTAGATGCTGTGTCTGCAGGATTGATATTGGGAGGTATTTTGAACCTACACAGGAATATTTCATCTGTCACTTCAGGGCAAGCGGTTTTTCCTCCACACAGAAAAACGTATTGACTGCTGCTTTCTTTTCAGCACTCCAAGTGTGCTGCTTGGCTGAGGAGGAGCAGAATGAGAGTGAAATAATGTCAGAAGCGTGTGAATCAATACAGAGTGATCACTGGGTCTTGAATGCTGATTCATTTATCAGCTCACGCTTTCGGCGTGACCACGGCACACAGTGCTCCTGTTTGGTCTGTCAGTTTTCACTGCCTCAGATAGGCTTTCCGAAGCATGGAGACAGAAGCAATATATACTCCCCTTCCTTAGGTCGATGGGGGGTTTGTGGGCTTTTTTGTTTGATTGGTTTTTATCCTGCTTCATGGCATACAGAAAGCAGTAAGGTTCTTCTCAGCTGCAGATGCTGAGCTGCTGCCAGGGTGAGATATTATGGGGAACAAACAGTATTTTCCATGCCATAACCAGGAATCTGTGTGTGTGCACTTTATAAATACCTGGGAGATATGGTTCAGGTGAGTTGTTCTGCAGCTGGAGTAGAATGAGCAACTTACCAGGTTGTTCCTCTCTGAACATTTGCATTTACATTTGAATGCAGTGCAAGGCTCAATCACCAGCACCCCTGTTTCTCCACTGAACCAATGAGTGAGCTTCTCATCCTTAGATTTCATCTGTGTAATCCTGATTTTCCCCAGGCATGCTGGATTCCATCTCTTTTTGGAGTTGAGATGGCAGTTGAAAATAAATGTATGGTTTTACTCCACAGCTTGAGCAGTGTGTAGGAGCAAGAGAGGCATCAGGACTGCTTTTCAGCAGTACTTATTATATCCAGCCTCATGTGTTCTTAAGTCTGCATGATTCTCCAGAACCAAGGGGTGGCTGCCAGCACTAATGATCTGGGTGGAGAGCATCAGGATGGGAAGACTCAATATTTGCAACCCAATTCTCAGCCCTGCTGTTCCCTTGTAATGCCAAAATTGCCTGAGATGCTTTTGACAATCCCACTGCTTCTGGACAGCGTTAGAGTGGTACAAGCTCTTGGTGATTTACTGGAGCTGTAAAGAAAGTGTGCAGCAGGAATCATTCCATCGTGCATTCTCCCATAGAACTGCATCTGTGAAGCTGCAGCTTCCTACCTGCCTTCATCCAGCCTTCTGCATCCTTCACTAGTCTTCTAGTAACTGCTTTGCCTTTCTTTCAAGACTAGGAGTGCTCTTAGGTGAAGTGCATGATTAGTTATAGGTGAAGCATTTAAATATCTGATAATTTCAGTTATTAAATGTAGTCATTCACCACCTGTGTGTGCTGAGCTACTTTCTCATCTTACAAGAGAGACTACAACAAGTTGTGCATGAGCTGTGTTTTGTTTTAATTGCATGAAGACTTTAACTTTTGTTTGTATCCTAGCTCATAGCAGCAAACCTTGAGATGGGTTTTGCTGTCCTTCCAGCCTTGGATTCTGCAACCCAGCATCAGAAGACTGTACCAGAAGCTCAGCTTTCATGTTAGGAAGTGGATTTCCTGCTGTTACACATAAACCTTTACAAGTATAGAAAATGACCAAAAGGAATCCCCAGAGGAGGCTTGTTTGAAATTAATCTTTTAGGCTTTGGCCCTGCTTATGACTTGGGAGGGAACAGGCTTCTGGGTTCTTACAAACTCCAGCGTTTGACAGCAATGGCTATGGGAAGTCTTCAGTGTTCCTTAAATTCTTCTGAGAAAAGATTGGTGTTTCAATAGGGAAACACTGAATCATTTGTATTGGGAAGTGCATTACTGTATTGTGCACCCCACTAAAATTAGTGTTATCAGAGGATTTCTTTACTAGGTTTACAGTTGTTGGGTTCCATCAGAGCTGAAAGGAAACTCATGTAGAAGTTTCAGTTTCTGAGCCCTCTGTTTGATAATTACTGTGCAGCCAACTCTTTCAACCAAGTAATGTTGTTTCTGTCTTTTGCCTTAAAGGGATTTCTCTCATCAAAAAAGAGGGAACTAAAGCTTATGGGATTAACAAAGGGTTTTATGGATACGTGCTCATGCTGATGATGTTTAGAAGAGATGTATTTGTCAGAGCATGCTTATTATTATGCAAAATAGTTCATGAAAGTCATAGCTTCAGGCGTGGAACGGTTCCACACAAAGATTGTTTCATGTTTAAACTATTGATTTAGGGAGACATAAGTCATTCCTTGAGAAATGCAGTGCTTGAGGCTCATCAGACAATTTGGAGATTTGATTACAGTTCAGGTTGAAGAATTTGGTTGCTGCCAAAGCACATTCCAGGGCTTTCTGGGATGTTTAGAACAGAAGAGCTGATTTAGGGCAGTCTGGGTATGATTTCAGACCTTTTGGGGTCTTTTCTGTCTTCAAGGACCAACATCCTGTTTCTTTAAAGACATGAACTTGTAACTGTATGTATTTTGATTCTTTAGGAAGTAATAGAAGCTATTGCTGAATGTGCATTTAAGACATCGCCCTTTCCAATCCTCCTTTCCTTTGAAAATCACGTGGATTCGTAAGTAATTACCATGTTTTCCTCTATGGTGCTATATTCATTGTAAGGTCTGAACAGAGAATAACGTATGCACTTGTGGCAGTTTTATTGAATAACATGACCAACAGCTCTTAGTGCAGAAAACCTTCTATCAGCCTTTGTAACCAAGATGATCAGAATGAATTGGGCATGCTCTTAAAAACCTTCCTGAATTAGAACCTTTTATAGGAAAGAGAGAGTTTGAATAATTGTGAGACAAACTGTGTAAACTTCACAGCGTCAGTATGTTCTGCTCTACCAGTACTTCATCAGAGAAAAAGAAACTCTATTTCACTTCCTTATGACCCTATTCTATGCTATAAGCGAATTCTGTGAACACAATTTCATCTGTTTCTTGGGTGCTAGATGTAGAGGCCAAAACCATAGATCAACTAGGAATCCAAAATAGGTGCTGTGGATGGCCAGGAACCATCCTGTTGCTGCCAGAAAATACCCCTTTGCTTAAGCTGTTTTCCTTTTCTTCTTACAAGAAAAAAGGACAATTTTTCTTTGTAAGAAAAGAAAAAATAAGTGAGAATACTTCTAAATTTATCCCATTGATCTATTTGTTACTGTTGTTATTTTAGCTCTTATTTCTCTGAGAAGTTTGACATTAACTTTGGTTTTGACTCCAGAGACCACGTAGCTCAAAATGGGGTGACACTGATTCATTTCAATTGCCTTTTCCCCTTTTGTTTTCTGCTGTGAAAACATTATCAGCAACTCTGGGGCCAGTATGGACTGAGAAACTTTAATGTGGAATAAAAAGTAATCTTTGGGGCAGCTCTGATTTAGCACAGATCAGAAAAGATGGTGGCAGTTCTGTTTCTTGAAGAGGAAAAGGGCGAGTGCTAACCGCTTTTCCATTGGTTTAGGAAGAACGTACTCATAAGGGAAGGAACTGGGAGAAGCAGCCATGAAGGAATGTTTCTAAGAACAGATGTGCCAAAACTGATCAAAAATTATATAGGTAGAAAAGGTTCAAATCTGAGAGCTGGCCTACACTACCTGTATATACAGATGTGGTGCTTAGGGACGTGATGTAGTGGTGGACTCGGCAGTATTAGGTTTATTGTTGGACTTGATGATCTTAAGGGTCTTTTCCAACCCAAGTGATTCTATACCTTACAGTAGATGTTTACCTTTTGTGGGCAAATCTGTGATTGCCCTGCACACATTTAAAGGCCATATGGTTATGATTCAAACAGCTGCCTGTTAAATCCTGCTTAGTTAGTCCTTTCTTCCTCCGAAAGACCACACAGATACTGTATGTATTGAATTTCTTTCTTTAATCAGTCCACTCCTTTCTTTTTGGTGTAAGTTCTATCACTTTGGACTTGCTTATTATCATGTACTGCTGTAGGGTTTAACACACAATGCTCTTAGAGTTTCCAAATACATCCTCTGGTCTTTAGAACTAAAGATCTTAACCATCATTGTTCAGTGCATTGTATTTTGTATTTATTCTTCCATATTTGTTAAAACATACATTCACTGTGTTACCGTAAGGCAGAGAAAAAGCAGCATGCAATTTATTTTAGCCATAATGTTACCTTTTTTTCCCCTTCAAAGTCATTAAGACACCTTCAGCTGAATTATCCCAAAGTGTATTATTTGATGTCCTTTTCCATGCATGGCTATTACAGTTTTTTAGCAAAGCAAGTTTGCAAAACCAGTATCAAGTATTTTCTCTTTCTGAGGCTTTATTGCTATTTATTATTTGCTGCTGCAGTAAATCATCAGATTTAATGTGTGTGATTTCTAATTGTGCTTTGGCTGAGAATAATTTCTAGTTATTTTACCAACTGCTACAATTATCCCTTCATTTCTTCACTGGTTGCTAGAGAAATCTGCAATTAGTCATGCCACTCACAGAAACCTTCACTTAATTTCATGGAATGTTCCTTTTGTCTTTTCATTTACTTGGAATGTTATTTTTCTCCTACATCTCTAAAGATGGACTTTCCCCAAAGCATTAACACAACTGCTTTTATAGAATCGCTGTCTAACAGATCTTATGGTAGCAGTTCCTACTTTGGAGTGACCGATTTTTCCTTCCAGTTTTCCAGTTACTCGAGTCAGTATTCATGTGTGAGATGTTGGTCCTTTTGGCTTTGGTTTAAACCAAAAGACAGTTTTAGCCTGTGTTCTGTATTCATGGCTTTTAAACAGGCTGTGTTTATCAGAGGTAAGTCAGTTTTAGATCACCACCATAGATATGACAGCGTTAATCACCACTGGACTTAAAATGCAGTTTTTCTTCTTTCTGGTTCTTTTTGTCCACATAGGCAGCAAATCACTGATGAGCACACAGTGTTAATCAACTCATTTGGCTTTCTTTCAATGCTTTTCCTTGAAGGACTCCTCTATAATACCTTTATAGCGTATGAAGAATTCTGTTTTACTGTAACTGCACCATGTAGTATATTCATTCTTGCTTGGTTTTATACATTAAGAAGTTTAGAAAAAAGGGGAAAGCATGTAACTTTGAGACTAGATCCAACTTTACGTGTGTCATCATTTATATTGACATCAAAACGTGAACACTGCAAAAAGCAAGAACTTAGAAAAGCTATGGCTCTATAAAAAAGAGTAGGAAGGTTCCCTGAAAATCTTACAAAGACCTCAAGAAGACCTTGACGTTGAAATTGGGCTTGCAGGAAGATAAGCAATCTGCAAATCTGAAAGCAGACACTCTGTAATTACAAATGCACTGATGATATAGCGAAAAGGTTAAGAGATCCTTGAGCAGTATCCGTATAAGATTGCTTCCAAGATTAAATTTAATTACAGTTATTCATATTGCTGGTTTCTTGCTGGAATTGTTATTTCAAACATTAACAGGGTTTTTATCACTTTCTTCCTCCACTCAAAATTATTTTAGACTCTTCTGGGAAGCATCTGTGTTTTTGTCTTAGGCAGAAGAAGTATCTCTGTGGAAGTGCCAGTAACATAGTGTTAGGAGCAGTAGTGCCAAAGAGCATCTCTGATTGACCTTCATAGTAGGCATAATGCAAACACAGTAAAACAAAGTACAAGCAATACATTAATGGCAATGAAAACATTTCTTAATACTCCTTATATTTCCAGACCTCCAAGTTTCTCCTTTACCCTGGCACATTTGGGGGGACACGTATAATTAGTCTGTGTGCTCCCCATCCGTGTCTGCACAGTAAAAACCATAAAGCAGATAATGTCAGCTCTTTTCAGGCAGTCAGTTTTCATTACAATACATGAATGCTGAGAGAATTTCCAATAATAGTAGATGTGGACCAGGAAATACCTGGTTTTTGTTTCATAACACAAATGGGGAAATATGTTGGTGTACAAAAATTGCTATTTCAATCTGTTGCCCTGGGTCATAATTTTGAAAGAAGAGAAAATAAATGGAAACATATTCCAATTTTTTTAATACTATAATAGTAATACTTTATGTATACTATTACTAAAGATCTTTCTCTTGAAACAAGACATATATATAGAATAGAATCATAGAATCACAGAATGGTTAGGGTTGGGAAGGACCTTAAGATCATCCAGTTCCAACCCCCCTGCCATGGGCAGGGACACCTCACACTAAACCATGTCACCCAAGGCTCTGTCCAACCTGGCCTTGAACACTGCCAGGGATGGAGCATTCACAACCTCCCTGGGCAACCCATTCCAGTGCCTCACCACCCTAACAGGAAAGAATTTCCTTCTTATATCCAACCTAAACTTCCCCTGTTTAAGTTTTAACCCATTACCCCATGTCCTATCACTACAGTCCCTAATGAAGAGTCCCTGCTCAGCATCCCTATAGGCTCCCTTCAGATACTGGAAGGCTGCTGTATAACAATACATACATATATTAGGAAGAGAGAAAGAACACAAAAACCTACCACTCAGTTAAATGCTGGTACACCTAAATATGTTTTATTCCCTCTTAGGAGCTGTCAAAAATACCTGTGCATATAGTCCAGCTCATAGCAATAAGTAATTTTGTAATGTCAAGACTTTCCTACATTTGCCTTGTCTACTACTGTAAGAGTCATTTTATTGTATCAAAACCCATTAGTTTTTCACATCATTTTCCATTTCCTCCTTCGCCCCCGGGATGCAGTGACACGGGAATTTATGTGCTAACCCCAAATACTGTCGCATTACATTTTTCTCTTTTGCAAACCTGAAAGTTCTCACTGTGTTCCTGGAGGCAAGCAGGTAATTACACCTAGGAGAGCAGAAGAATTTGTTCTAGCTGCGGAGATAGTTTGAAAATGACTGGATTTAACTCTTGCATATTTTCTTCAGATCCCTATCAAGAGTTCCTTTCGGAGTTAATGTGCCCATTTAAAGATGCTGATGTCACATCTAATAACTACAACTTCAGTAGTAGAGCTATCTTGATTCAGAGATGTCCTTTGAACTTTCCGGGTTCTAGGAGCATGGGCCTATTCCAAATACACACTGGTGGAGAAAACTGAACTGAAATTCACCATAATGACCCCTTGAGCTATCACAAATACCCAGTCTGGATGCTTGCTAGAGTGAAGTACCTTTATTTTCCTTGGTAGCTAGTGGTTAGAAATAGCTAACACCTGATTTATTCTTCCCATTGCCGTCTCCCTTGTGGGTTCTTAGTTCCACTCCTTTGCTTGTCTTCATCTTAATTTTCCATCCTCAACTGAAAGTGGCTTTTAGCTTTTTTGGTGAATGGGCTGCATGCAAATGCAAGCCTTCACGAAATGCTGCAGTGATTTAAACTGCATGCAGCACTTGCAAGGCTTTGTGGAGTAATTTAAAGCCTCCCTGCAATACATTTTGTCAGTGACTGAGCTAACGACTGGTTCACCCCGGACCTGCTTCAGGGGACATCCAGAATGCTGATCTTGGGGAAATTACATTTTCTGATTCAAATGCCACCCAGCCTTTATGTCAGCTCTGGTTTAGCCTTGCTGACCCCAGCAAGAGCTGCAGTACAGGTGCTCACTTGGTAGCTAACAACAAACTAGACACAGCAGTTGTTGTACTCCTAGTTTGCAAGAGAAATGAGCACTCCTTTTTTCCTATACACCCAACTCTAGTTTGTCATGAAAAAGAGCTCCATGGTAACAAAACTGCCTATACCATTTGTGTAGCTTCAGTGATCATCATTAACAGTAGTTGAGGAAGTTATATTAAGCGATAGAAACCTGTCCTTTGATTGGGACTCCTCAGAAGAGTATCAAAAAGGGAAACTTTCAAAGACAGCTAAGCTCAGATATTGCAGAATTTAAAGGGGCACATATAACAAAACGACACATAGAATCATGGAATCAAGGGATGGTTTGGGTTGGAAGGGAACTTAAAGCTTATCTAGTTCCAATCCCTTGCCACGGGCTGGGACACCTTCCGCTAGAGCAGGTTGCTCCAAGCCCCTGTGTCCAACCTGGCCTTGAACACTGCCAGGGATGGGGCAGCCACAGCTTCTCTGGGCACCCTGTGCCAGCGCCTCAGCACCCTCATAGCGAATGTGCCATTAGAGTCTGTGACTGCAGATAAAGTTCACACCAGCATTTGAGTTTCCTTCTTTGTGTCATGGCCTTGCTGTGCTTAGGTGTAGAGAAAGTGACTGTAGCACTAAGCTGCATTTTAAAATGATTTGAGTAGTATTTCTGAGCAGTATAACCTATCTTCAGTCCTAAAACTCCCATCACTGATATGCAGGAATGATTTAATTCTTAGGTTGCATTTGGGGAAAAACTGATTATAAATAGAGTTTTCTGAGGTTCAGTTTACTTTGACAGGATGTGACAGAAACCAGTGCAGTAAATTACTGTGGTAAGATTTGATGCTCTCTCTGATTTGAAATAAAGATTTAAAGTTTTTAAAGAAGGAATCTGACCGCATCCCCAGACCAGCTAAAATGATCAGTGAGCAGCTTGTTCTTGCATCTAGATCCCCACTGAGAAGGCTGTCCTGACATGTTCCTCCCAGTTCCATGCACGAGTGCAGTATGTAATTACATGCATACAATACGTAGTTGTGTCCAAAATGACATAACACACCTTAGCGGAGGCACAGTTACATCTCAGCTATGACTTCTGCAGTGAGGGTATGTCGGGGTGAGCGAGCTGATGAGGGCAGTGGGTGCTTCGTCACGGAGCGCAGTGCAGAGGCACAGCTCCAGGTAGGGCTGTGGCTGGATGGGCTGTCACACTGCACAGGCTCAGCACCCACCTCGCACAGGCTTACAGACAGCATGGGAAAACGTGCTGTGTTTTGGCAGAAAATCTGCAGGAAAACCGACTGCACTTTAGAAATGTGCAGTGAAACTGGCTGCTTCTGTACCAGTGCCTGTAACTGATGCAGCTTTGCGGGTTGTGAGACCCAAGTAATGCCTTCTGCCCCTTCTTCTGTATGGCTGTGCCTTATAGACAGGGTGATGCCTATACACTTGGCTTGGCAAATTTAACAGAGACTGCTCTCTATGTAACCATTTTGGATATTATGCCTTAGGCCAGGTATGACAAAAAGAGAATAAAACCCAAATGGGGTTGCATGTGTGTGTGTGAAGAATGCCAGCCATGTGTATAAAGTAAAGTAAGGAGAAAAAAGTTTCTCCTTTAAATCAAAATATTGCCTGAAAGAAGCAAATTCATCTGATGGTTATTTCCCTAAGGTAACAGCTCAGCCTCTTTTTTAGTTTTCTACTGATTGCATGGGAAAATAGACCTCAATGTTAAAAGTTCAGTTTCACTATGACACAATTGATTAGTGCCTTTACTTCATGTATGATCCTTTTGCTAAGGTCTATCAGAGAAATCAGAATTATTACATGATATATGTAGGTCTCCACAAAATTCACAGCAACTGGATCAGTAAATTATATCTAGTGTAGAGATATGACTAGATGATCTTTTGAGGTCCCTTCCAACCCTTGGGATTCTGTGATTCTGTGATTCCATTACTGCTGCTTTCACTCTGTAGCACTAATAGGACTCATTTGTCTATTTCTTTTCTTCCTTCAGCCCTAAACAACAGGCCAAAATGGCAGAGTACTGCAGATTAATATTTGGAGATGCATTGCTTATGGATCCACTGGAAAAATACCCGGTAATGTGGTTTGGTATTTATCAGCTCACAAATACCTGCTTGAATTTTATTTGTTTCAGTCCTGTATCGTTCTTCATAGACAGCCTTTCAAACCAGAGTCTAAAGGAGGGGGTTAAACAATATGAGCTGTTGGTGATTTAAAGAGTATTATTTCTGATGCTGAGATTGTTCTGATACAGTGAATTATAATCTTCTAAATGCAATTGATTCTCATAGCTGCTGGTTTATAATGTAGGCTTTCAGATTTGAACTAATACTTATTTCGGTTATTACCGCAGACATTTCATAAAGCATTTGTCTTCTCTTCTTGAGTGCCCTCAGTTAGCCTGTTTCGTTTAATGTTGAGGTTACCTCTTGTGCAAAACACATTTCGTTTGAACAGAGCTTATAGCGATCACAAAATTATCTTGTACCATGTGGGCCCTAAGAAACTGCCATGAGCCCTTTTCTTTTGTTGTTGTTGTTGTAACCAATTTCTTTTCCTTCTTCTGCAAGCTTGAATCTGGGGTTCCTCTTCCAAGTCCAATGGATTTAATGTACAAAATTCTGGTGAAGAATAAAAAGAAGTCACACAAGTCTGCAGATGGAAGTGCAAAAAAGAAGCTCTCGGAGCAAGCTTCCAACACATGCAGTGATACATCCAGTATGTTTGAACCTTCCTCCCCTGGAGCAGGTATGAATTTGACCCACACATGTATTTCTCCCTAGAACACAAACGCTCAATTACAGATATAATTCCATCCACTTACATTGCTCTAGCAAGGTAAAGGTACACCACCGTGGGCCACACTCAGTAGGAAACAATGCTGAGTGTCATTGACCCTGGAGTCTGTGAGGGTTTTTGGCTGAGGAATAACTTACAGAGTGGCCTGAAGCTCAGTGATGTGTACTAACATTTGTCTGTGCTGCTTAGGAAGCAGAGCAATCTGCCAGCTCCTTCACCCTTGGGTGCCTTTTCTGTATGCCCAAGCCCAATACCAAACAGGCATGTTTTCTTTTTCCTGTTACCTCTGAGATATGCCTACCATTTGGTGCCCTTTCAGATTAAACCCCTTGCTCAGGAGATCTGTAGTGGTTCTGCAGTGTCTTAAGCTTTAGGGTAGCTGAATGAGATATCTGTTCCTCAGGCAGGCAAGGCTCAACCTGCTGTTGTCGTGCATTAGTTGGGAAGATGTTACAGATCTCTGTGCAAAGTGCAGTAAGATGTTCTTCTGTTCCAGAGATGGAAACAGGCAAAAATAATACTGCAAATAAATACTGTTACCATCAGGAATTGTAGGGAATGGAGCCAGTGGAAGGCAGGCTATTACATTAAGATTATTAGCAAAATCTTTAAAATCAGAAATGAAACAAAAAAGTTAGTGAAATTTAATGCATATGTTCTGGTAACACCTATGGGATCGGCAGGGAACTATTGTGAGTGTTGGTATGCCAAAATTAGTCAGAGATGCTCTTTGTCCTGAAGAGCTTAAAACCTAACTAGAAGAGACAAAGAGAAGTGCAGAGAAAAAAGATAAAGGGTTTGCTCTGAACCACAGGAGCAGATGAACAGCTGGACAGACAGCAAAATCTGTATATCCTGATGCATAGCCCAGGGTCTGTTCCATGCACTAGAATTTCTTCTTGCTATTAAGACTAAAACGTTGGATTGCTGGAAGCATACACATTTATGCCCCAGTAGCGGAGAATATTTCTAAAGCAAATTGGAAGCTCTACTAGAATATAAGTTCATTACCATTTGCCATTAAAAAAAGTCCTTTTTTCCATTGTTTGTAATTTTTTCTGATTAATTAAGCTGGAAGTTTCGTGCTGGCACTTTGCCTCCAGCTGAATCACAGCTAAAAAAATCCTGCTGTATTTGTGGATAACATTGTTTATCCTATTAGAAGCAAAGAGAGAGTTTTCAGCTATTGTGTTAAGAAACTTTGAAAAGGGCATGCTTTGGAGCAGGCCTTGCATTTCAAAGGAAGATTCATCCTGGTGTCAACAGTGATTTAATGCTGTTTCTTTGATTTGCTTTAGTCAAATCCCAAGCAACAGAAAAAGAAGTGTGTGATGCCAACTGACTCCTTTCCAACACTTGAAATCAACCCTGGGTTCCTAACTCTACATTTCTGTTACCAGCACACAGTGAGAACCCAATGGCAAAGTGTATGTCTTTGCTTTCTGAGTGCCTGCTCTGCAGAGAAGCGGACAGCTTTGTTCTTCAGGATCTCTATGAGCATGCCTAGGAAAAGACCTGGTCTATGAATCTAGATGATGATAATGCAAGGTGGGGGGTCAGTCCCATAGTAGGATTTGTAATGTGGCAAATTAACTGTGAATATTATGTCTCTATTATCTATAGAACAACCTCTGTCAACTGTAGATTATGAAGATGAACACTTACAAATTAGAAAAGGCTAGAACTGAGATTGCAAAATTGATGTGGTCCCTTGGTTTGTGTGTGACTGCCAAAATGCATTACTGGTAATCCTTCGTTTGGCCATTGTTTCTCCGTCAGGACCTATGCCTCTTTTGGAGAATGCAGTTAGTCAATATGTTTTCTTTCTCTGTCATTCAATGCTTGATCCTAGATAAATGCAGCATCCTCATCTTGCAGTGAATTTCCATGGGGATATCCAGGCTGCATATGAACCTTGAGTAATAGCAGTGAATTTATCTCAACAATAACTGTGGGGAGTGAAGTAATATTCAACCAATTTAATTTAAGGACAGCAGAGTCTGAGGGAGCTTAAGAACAGTTTAGGGGTGACCAACAAGGAGCATCCAGGATCTGAGCTTTCAAGAGTACTTTAAGTATTCAGAGCACAACCCAGAGACTTCAGCTACAGCTTTACAGCTCTGAGCACGCAGCTTGTCTGCGAATCAGGTTCCACATTTCTGTCTGTGAGCATTTAAAAATGCATATATAGAATTGTTCACCATTTGATAAGACCACTGTGGCAAGACCTAGTGAAGAGCGCGGTTCCATTGGCAGTGCTCAACAGTCACCATGACACCCTTCATTTCACTGCCTCATTCTTTATGTACTTCTCAACACCAGCAACAGTAATGCTGGAGCAGGGCAAGATTATGCTCCTTTATACCCAGTACCAGTTTCTTGTTGGAGCAGTGCAAGCATTATACTCAGTACCAGTTTATTTCTGCAGCATGGCAGGAGTAATGCAATTAAAGATTCACTAGAGGAAACCTAATTCTCCACATTTCTTTACATGAAATGTTTCGATACTCCAACCTTAATATAATCTTTACCTTTGGAAAGATGAACATGTAATTTAAAAACCTGTATTTTATTGTCTAGCTCCTGTCAGCATTACTGCTGATCTCCAGGAGAAAGTTGGGCTGATTTAGCCTTCTTGAGATTTCAAATGAGTTTTATCACAGCAGTACAAAAAAACAGGGAGATCTCTACTTCAGTTGATAGCAAGCTTCAATGTGTCTTACACTGCTCGAGGCTAGATGTAAAGCCAAATAACCCAGTCTTTTGTTATGTTTATAAAACATGCCATATGAAAGCTAGGTGATGGAGATATAGTAGCAATAATTAAAAACCCAGTTCTGAAATGAGCTTTGCAGAATGGCTTGAGGGATGTCTATGAAACCGATGTAAGAAGTAACTTCACGAGGCTATTATGCCTGTCAGTGGAAAAAGCTTTCCCTAAAGGTACAGCAAGGCTTGCAAAGCAGCAAAAGACATTCTGAGATAACATTTGTGAGACAGACTGCAGTCTTGGTAAACAAGCATCTTGGACCTGGCTGCTTTAGCACAATGAATGGAAGTCAATAAGCAAGGTTTTCAAAACAGTCACATCACAGTACAAAAGGAACGGTGGCAGTTCTGCATTTAACATTTGTAGGCCTAAACAGCAAGTAGCCAAAATTCATCAACTGAACAGTATTTAAGTTTTTGAGCAAATTGTTCATTTCTCACTCATAGAATGATGTTTTCCTCAGAGCAGTGGGTGCTGCAAGGAAAGAGTCATGGGGAGACAATGAGAGAGACGGGGTAGAATTGGCTCCATCATTTCACAATGACTAAACAGAAAACTGGGTTAAAGGTTTGAGCCTCCGTGTATGCAAATGCATTGGTACGTTGCTGCTGCCTGCCAGCAGAGGCTGTGGTCCACTGGTACAAAGCAAAAGGAAACTGAATAAAGTTCATTTTTGCTGCACAGCCTGTGGGGAAAAAACCCAGAAGGTGCTGGTGGCCGCTTAAGCATTATCAAGCTAACAAGCTGCACCAGCAAGTACCACATTTATAATCCATTCTGGCTGTTGCTTTAAAGGGGTCTGAGAAAGCAGATTACGAGATTCCTCTGCATTTCAAGCAATGGGTAACCTTTCGTTTTATTAGGCTTTCAATATGTGTCACGCTGCTGAGGCATGGTGAGAATGGATAATATTTAGCACTCTGCTTCCTCAACCCTTGGTGATAGGGATTTGGCTTGTCATTCCCAGCTCTCTGCTAATCATCTTCCATTCAGTATTACAGTTTTGAATCTCTTTACCTGTCAGCTGGGATTCAGCCTCCTTTGTACACTTGTTACATTACGCAACGAGCAGTTTTCTGCCTTCCCCAGGCTGCCTCACTCAGTAGGGGCAGTGCCTTGAAAACATCCTTGAAATTGCCCTATTACTCCGCTGAGAAGCTTCCTGGGCTCTTCTGCCTGTAAGCAGCTGACAGAATCTAACTTACCTATTGTGCTAGGGAGCAACATCTTTTTGTATCTTGATACTCTTCTGTCTGCCTTTGTCTATGGGCAAGCTCTTTTCTCATACTTGGAGGGCAAGCCCTTGGAGCAGGGCTGTCTGTTTTCACTGTATTTGTATGCCACATAGCATGGAGAAGCCCTGGCCTGGCCTGGGTTTGTAGTCCCATCTACATGCAAATAGTAATTATGCCATTACAGCTAATTGCCCCTTGGACAAGCTCACACATCATACTGGAACTGACCTGCAGCACAGCTGCATGTGCCAGCGCACGTGCATTTATGATCCACAGTGTCTGTGCCCTCCTGGGAAGGGACAGGAGTGATGACATGGGCCTGATCCCACCACCTCTGTAGGGGGGTGAGCACGAAGGCATCCACAGTACAAGGTATCTCAGTCTGGCCAAGACTTGCTCTGACTTTGTGTCCCAGCAGCGTAACAGGAAAAGACGGTTCAGTTCGAGGGTAGGACCATGCTGCTGGGGGAAAGGCAACGCAGATGTAGTCATGCTTTCTAAAACACATACTAGTTCTTGTTCTGTTTGCAATCCTGTGTATTATTTGTGCTGGTTTTGCTGTCTGATGCAGAACTTGAAAATGAGATCTGATCTCCTTGGGAGTTTTCCTGTGATGTACTTCCCTCCCTGGGCACTTCTCGCAAGAGCAAGCTATCATCTACCTGGTACCTCAGCAGTGCAAGTTGGCTGAAATCTGCCCGCATCCCTCATTCCATGGACTGTGCAAAGCGTTGTTTTGCCAGCCTGGTCAAATCAATTGAGAGCTTCCCATCCAAAGATTGTCACTGCAAACCCTATGAGAGCTCAGCTGGCTTTTTGCAATGTGTTGAGATTCCCTGAGCCATCCCTTGAGCCTGTTGAGCAATCGTGTTATTTTCTTCAATGAAATGTTCAGGAAGAAATGTGTTCATGAATAAAAGGCTGACATTTCAACATCTGCATCTGGAAGGAAACAGAGCCTGGGTAGTCATCATTTGGTTGTGAAAGGCACACTCATATGTGCTCTCTGTGTTCAGAGGGGGCCTGCTGGGCATGATTCAAAGGCCTTCTGGAACAAAGAGGAGTTTCTTTATTGACTCAGTGGGCTTTGGATTAAATTCTAAATTGACAGGAGGAGCTGAGACTGAATTACCAGTCTCTGGAGAGTTTGGGAATGCTGCACAGGGATTAGTGCTGCCAAAAGAAAAGTGGCACTGCTGAAGAAAGCCGGAAGGTTTGTGGAGGAAGATCCTTAGGGAGAGTTGTCAACCTTACAGGTGTGGATAAGGGACTGCAGTGTAAGTTAAACCTTCTTTTCCAGACTCTTCCTAGGATGCACAGTGTAGACTTTATGACAGCCAGACCCGCAGGAGGAGTCATGAAAGCGAAGGATGAGCTTGCTGTATTCCTTCATGGTTTAATTGCTGGTGGAACCAAATGAAAACACTTTGGAGGTCAGGGGAGGCATTTGTTAATTAACAATAAAGAATCTGTGTCTTGCCCATAATAATTGGATGCGAACACCGCAGTGGGGAGCAAGGTATAAAAGGTGTTTCATTTGGTCCCGTTTACTCTACCAGTACGTTTTCAAGGAAAGGATGAGCCTCATGCATCTTCCTCACATTACTTGATTTGCACTGCCCTCAGCCGGTGTATTTGAGCTATGCCACCGGGGTCCTGAACGTAAGGCACACCGAGGCAGCCTGTGGAGGTAATTGAAGTCGAGCTATTGCAGTTGGGCTCCTGTGCCAGATCCTCCCAGCTGCACTACCTCAGCCCATGGCTTGCGATGTGTTCAGAACAGATGGGTTCCGCTGCACAGCCCTTGACACCACAGCACATGAGAATCTCATCAGTTTCCAGGCGTGATTTCTTCACCCCATTCATGCTGTGTGGGCTTCCCGGAGCGGGTGAGGTATTCGTGGAGGTCCTGGAGGGATCCTGCAGCAGGGAGGGAGTTTGAAGTTGCACCTCCCAAACCCCAGGGCTGTGTTCCAAGCACGGAAACATCTCTTCAGAGTAGTTTCTGATACCATACCCATACACTGCACACCCCACAATGCTCTCTTCTCAGTGCTGATACCTACCCCATGATTTCCAAACACTGAGCATCCAGCAGCTGCAGAGGAAGAGTTTTGGTGGGGCAGTAAGAACTTATCAGTGCTGAAGATGGATGGATCCCTTGAGACAGTGTGTTCAATCTGTGGTGTGTCAAAAACCATATGTTTAATGTCCCCTCCTTTAAGCAGTTCTACTTGCACATCTTTCTTCAGTTTATTTTTGGTAATTATAACCATTGCTTCCAGTAATTTTCTTCTCTTAAAACTTTTCAGGTGAAGCAGATATTGAGAGCGATGATGATGATGACTATGATGATGATTGTAAAAAGTCGTCGATGGATGAAGTAAGGGTGTAGATACGGCTTACAGTGATGGCTCGGTTCCAGTAGTCGTGGGTTGGCTTGTGCTACCAGGAGTGGGACTACCATCTAGTGGAGAAAGGGAGGCAGAGCACAGGGAAACACACCACGAACTTTTCTCAAGTTGGTTGTTAATCGATTTGGAAGCACATCTTTGCTTTGGTTATTTATATTTCATCTTATTCATCATGAATAAGAATTAATAGCACCACAGCGGAGCTGTTTTGGACACCTGCTCGTGGGGTACCTAGCATTTGTTGTAAGGAAATCTTGACATCAAAACCTTAGAGCTGTGTTTGTTATTTATCCAACAGTACTGATAGATGTGCTCAGCTCTACACAAATGTAAAGGTAGTTCAGTCCCTTCCTTAGGAGCCACATAAAAAGAATGTAATTAACAGCAGTTTAATTAAACATTTAGATTTTATAGCAAATTTTCTTCTTTACTGTGTGAAGCTGCCTGTGTGAGGCATTGGCTTCACTAAGCAGAGATGAATGAGGAGTATCATGGTTGATAGAAAACTGGGCATTGGTATTTGTGGCCTCTGGCCACCGTGAAGTGATCAAAACTGCAACATTTTCCCTTCTCTGCCCTAGGGTACTGCTGGAAGCGAGGCTATGGCCACTGAAGAGATGTCTAACCTGGTGAACTACATTCAGCCTGTGAAGTTTGAGTCATTTGAAGTATCAAAAAGTAAGTAAGCTAAGCATGAGCAGCATCTTATACTGAAAATTACCTAGGAAGTCTTCGGAAGAAGGTTGTGAAGGAATGCTGCTTGGCTCCCTGTGAGTTAGATACAGGCACACAGACACAAAATTTTCCCTGGTATTCAGCCAAATCAACCCATATTCATTTTGAAACCTGTATTAGTCTAAATATCAACTTTCAGCAGTATAAACATGCCGCCATTTCGAAGACATCTTTTAAACTGTGCTCTTATATTGTTGTCCATGACTTAAGCAGTTAGAGAAAGTGATCATACATATTCCTGCAGATCAAGCAACCGCTGCTTATTTTGCCTCTGCTTACAGAGGATTAAGGATAAGCAGAGTCTGCCCTTCCCCGTGTGCAGATTTACTCTTTCCTGCCTCTCTGCCATCATTTCACCCCCTGCTGGCTTTTACCGAAGATGCCTTGCTAGGAATGCACTCAGTGGCATCCTCAGTAAACACTGCAGCATCTTTTCTTTTCTTGGTGCAGAACCCCCTGCTGTTCGCATGCCCTTTTTCACTTTGTTTTGACAGGTTTCAATATGCTCTTAGTGCTTTTCAGTTAAAGAAGTGTATAGCATTTTAATATGGGTTTGTGGAGGCCTTGGCAGAGGACAGGTATTTGGTGCTCAGTCCCTATCTGTATACAGGATTTCACATTTGCTCTTGATGAATAATAAAACATATAAGAAGCTATCTACATGTTCATTTGTATGTGGGTATTTGTACAGGCATACACACAAGCATTCACAAAGTCATGCAGAGACGATGCCTATAGTAGTGTCCCTTTGGATGTTTATAATCTCCTCTAGTTCTAATGAGAGCTACATGAATGCAGTGGGAAGGAGATATTCCTTCTGGAAAGGAAGCCATGTGAATCCTAGCAGGACAAGTTGATGCAGCTGTTAGGAAATTGTCTTGTGTAGCTTTCTTCTGCTCACATGCCTTTCTGAGTTTTGTCTGTATGAAAGAACTGATGTCCACAGTTTTTATCCTAAGTCTTGCTGTGACCTTTGCTCGCTGTTTCAGTGAACCCATAATGTTCAGGAATTCATATTTCTGGATTTTATGTCAAAAAATCATTATGTGATAAATATGGCTGGTTCTTTGGGTCCTATGGGTAAATGTTGCTGGCAGTGCGGTTGATAACATGACTGGTGGTTCCTGGTCATAGTCCTGGCCTGGCCTCACTGCTGGATCTTCATTAAATTCAGCAAAGATGAGCTGAATAAAGAAGGGTGTTTCATGGGTTCAATATTACAGCATTTTTATTGTCTAATTCAGAATTTGGTTTTCTTTGTGATCCTGGCCTCCACGGTGATAATGGAACCTCACTGCTTCTGTCATTCGCACATTATTAAGGTGTATTTTCTGGCCTTGCATCCAACTTGTTGACCAAAATATTGAATAGCAGTGGGTCTGTACCAGTCCCCTGGTTGCCCTCACCAGATACGTTCTATCTCTCACAACAAATATCTGTAACTGTATTTTTCCAAGTATTTCAGACAGTTCTTCAATGAGATGTTCATGCGCTCCATAGTGACTTCCTCCTGATAAGGCAGCACAATGTAATGTATGATGAGAGAGAAATGCCTCTCCTGCACAGTCTGTTCTTCAAAGGGCAGGTTTCTTAATCCTCTCCATGTACTACACGGAAATAATTGTTCCTGTTTTAATTAGGACTTTGGTTAAGCCCTGGACATTTAGTAACTGAATCATTTAACAGCTCCCAGCTCTGTTTTCCTACAGATGCTCTACTTTAAGATAAGGCTGAGAGATACAGGATATTACTACAACAAATTCGAGCATCACCATATAAAAAAACACTTCGTATGTGTGTTGCCAGTGCTGTTCCATTAGTAAGGGGGAAGGATGGAATAAGAACAATCTCAATGCCTTTATAAAGAGCAGAGATAGAGGTTAGCTGCCTGGAACAGAGTCTGGAGAAAAAGAGGATATTGCGTGTTGGAAAGGAAGAGGAGTGGTAGGAGTGCAGCCTCTAGGGAATGGCAGGAATCTTTTGCCATTAGGAGGTAACAGCTATGAATAATGGCAGTAGCATAATGGTTGCTGTTTAGAAATAGGGACTGTAATAAAGTCAGAGTCCCACCTCTCATAGAGGGAGATAGTCACTTTTGGAACACCAGAGTCATCCCCTGACTCTTCAACATACACTGAGAATAGTTTGTAGCTCACAGGCTGCCAGCACATTTTCCTCTCACATTGGCCCAAGCAATCTTGCTCCTTATTTCTTTGGATCCACTGCTTCCTTTTTGGCTTCCTGTAAGGAGAGTGCCCACCTGTTTCTGTCCTGTTTCTCTCTGCAAGACAAGTGCTTTTGTTCACTTTTACCCCTCTCCTGCAGCTTCGCAGTTTGACTTCAGGGAGCTGGCCAGGCTGTCCTCCTGGCTGGGACGGGAATACTGCAGCACAATTACTTTTAAAACTGGATAAGGGCAAGCCTTTCTCTTCCTTATTGTTTGCTTTCAATGAAGTGGTGAGGCTGGAGAGTTCATGTTTCAATGCAGGCGCTGTTTCCCTTATTTTTAAAGAGAGCAGTGCTGCTATCTAATGGATATGACCTCCCGGTGCTTTGGCTCTTTGAAGGCAATCTACAAGCTGATTAAGCTGTTATTTTACAGGAATCCTTACCTCCTGTGTGAAAGTGTAAAGGAAAAAATACTGAAGCTAGGAGGGTTTTGACTTAGGCTGTCTGCTATAGCACATTGCACGGGCGCAGTGACAGGCTGTGCAGACATCAAGTGTATCAGTCGTGTGGAACAAATGATACACAAATTAATGTTTAGCCCTGCTGAGCTGTACGCTTAGGAGGAGAGTTCACCACTGTCAGGCCAGAAAGTTTGACCAAATTAAAAAGGTCATAGAAGTTAGATATTCATTTGTGGCTGGGCCTGAAGACCAGCTGGGACACAGGAGTGTACCTTCAGGCTTCATTAGATAGCAGTGATTCCATGACTGTTTGAGACAGATGTGACCTTATCCTGACATACTGAACATAATGAGAACTGCTGTAGGCTGTAAGCTAGAGCACTGCTTAGTTTAATCTGACACAGTCATTAGTTATTATTGCTCCAAATTGGCTCAGAGCCCTTGCATCTGCCTGCAAAGACAATCCAGAGATCCAGCAGGGCTCTCTCTGTTCCCCACAAAAGCTGCTACAATACCTCTGCATCGCAGGTGTGAGCTTTGGGCTCTACCTCTCAACTATATCAGCGTGGTATTTTGCAAGCAAATATGAGAGATCCCTGCCTGTGCACTGATACTTGGTTGCCTGCAGCTGGCACAGCAGCAATCTCAGGCAGTACCAATGCCCTTAATTTGGGCAATGCTAATCTGAGTTCAGATAGGGCTCCCGAGTATGTGCAGAGTAAGCTTACTGTTGCCAGCAAACAAATCTGCATGTAAATTCTTTGGGATCAAGGTGAACTGAGCTAGTGAGCGGTAGATGGGATACAGGGACCGAGGCTAAACCAGCTGTTTGCAGCTCGTGGATGACAGATGATTCCATGCTCTAACGTGTCACTGGTTTTGTTTCCCCTGTGAACTTCCAGAACGCAACAAAAGCTTTGAAATGTCTTCCTTTGTGGAAACGAAAGGGCTCGAGCAACTGACGAAGTCTCCTGTGGAATTTGTGGAGTATCCTTGACTTTCTTAGCTGCTTCCTATATCTGACATCTGTTACAGGGCTTTATTGAAATTTGGAGACAGGAGCTGGGGAAATAGGGAACCCAAATGAAATGTGTACATGTGACTGTGTTCCAAGGTGAATTAATTGGCCTGAGGTCTGGTGAGCTAATTTAAAAGCTGGCATGAGTCCTCGTGCTGTGGGCTGGGACTAGAGGGAATAAACTGCATATTGGAGATCTGATACCTCGTATTTAAATTTATCATCCTATATGAGGTGGTATGACTTCTGCTGAGCAAATTGTCCAAGTGTGGCTGACTTGGTTTCTTGCAAAGTCACATCAGAAAGCTTGCTTTCTCATCGTGCCTCTAGTTCTAACAGCACTGAGCTGTTTTATTGCCACACAATTCCCTTTTTACATGATTCGGAATGGGAGAGGGGTTAAATAACTTAAAGAAAAGCTAAAGACCATCCTGCGCAGACCTTCTCATGTTTCTCAGTATCTCTCATCATGGCTGCAGTTAAGAATGAATGGTCAAGATAAAATAGTGCCTCAGTGAAGATTAATGGAAAGCTACTTCCACAGATAACCTGCAGCATGTTCTCATCTCTGAGATTTATAGACTCAGCTATAAGAAGTGCACACTCATCGTTTCTGTCTGTATGTAGGGGTCAATTCTAATGCTTATTCCAGAAGAGCACTTGTTAACTGAGCATCTCTCAGCAGTCCAGAGCAAGATGCACTGTTTACAGCTCATTGGCCTCTATAAATGCAAGCTTAGGAAAATCCCAAATTAATAACCATAATGATAAACGGACTTTCATGAATGTGATTTTTTATGGATATACCTGTGCTATTTCCTTGCTTATTTTGAGTACTCTATACAGGAACAAACAGCACCTTTAATTACCCCATATTTATCATACCTCCTGCCAAATTGTGGACCCCTGGAAGCATTATGGTTTCTGAAATCCAATAAGGACCCCCCATTCTGTACAGAACACCTGCATTTAAATATTGCAGTTGCATCTCTCTGCAAAGTGATTTCTGTCACATGTACTATATCTTAACTACTCACCGTTTAGATATAACAAAATGCAGCTAAGCCGAATTTACCCAAAGGGAACACGTGTAGATTCTTCCAACTACATGCCACAAGTCTTCTGGAACGCTGGCTGCCAAATGGTTGCTCTTAACTTCCAAACTGTAGGTAAGTTATGCTGGTCTCTGCATTTTGTACATTTCCACTTCTCTGATACAGTTTCTGATTTGTAGGTAGGAAAGGCTTTATGCATCAAAAGATGTTTGGTGATTGAAGGATACTGCAGAGCTGTTAATTCACATCTTTACCACCAATTTTTCTTTCTAACTAGGTATATTCATAACTACCACGTTGTAATTAGTATAATATGCATATATAATACCCTCCACGTTGTCATCATTTGTAAGTGGTTACCATTGAGCAGCATCTCAGATCTGGCAGGGATTTTTTTCCTGACCCCTGAAAATCTCATTACTTCAAGACATAAGGGCCTTAAATAGAAAATTCCACTTTAAGAGTGAGTTTTTAAGAAACAAAGACATTTGTCCCCTAGGTGCACAAGTCCTTTCCTAAATGGAATGTGGTGTTGTCCAAGGCTATGTCTGTTCTGAAACATAAAAATATTTCCATCTGCTGCATTCCAGGACATATCCTCACCATGTGCTGCCTCTGGGCACATGGTACCGTGGTATCATTCACTTTTTCCTGTCCAGTTGTGCCCATGTACAACTTTGAAAGCAAAACCCCACACAGGCTGGGAGTCTGCAGAGTGATAAAAACCCTTTTGGGCCAGTTTCAGTCAAGTATCAGGCACCCAGTGTCTGATGTTAGAAGGGGTTTGAAGCATAACTACTCTGCTGGGTTGGGTACAACAGCACAATCAGTACAACACTGAGGGACTCAACACCTCAGTGTTAAGGCTTCTTTTAAATTGTGAAAGCGTTTTCTATTGAGTAGGCTCTGAAAGATATCTTAAAGATGCCTTTTTTATGTCTAAAGAATGGAAGAGGATGGCCACAAACACATCTGAAGCCTTTAAGCAACAGACATATAGCTCTTTACATTCCAGTCAGTTTGAAATTACAGTAATTGTTATTATCTCATTGCTTTTTAAAATTATCTATTCAGAACATAATTGTTATCAATGTTTTTAACACCTAGATTTGTCTATGCAAATAAACATGGGAATGTATGAGTACAATGGCAAAAGTGGCTACAGGTTAAAGCCAGAATTCATGAGAAGACCAGACAAACACTTTGATCCATTTACTGAAAGTATAGTGGATGGAATAGTAGCTAACACCTTGTCTGTCAAGGTATGTATGCAGCTGGTGAAAATGCTCTCATTATAGCGTCAGAGCATACATGTATTCCTGTTGTGCAATGCCCTAGCAAATAACTGTACTAAGTCAAGAGAATAAGATGCATTTCATTTCATGGAGTGACATTTCCTTTTTAAACTCTGCCTCACATTACATATTGAAGGATAAATAAATGTATTTTTATTGCATATCTTCTTTTCCATAGACATAATTGGGAAGTCAATGGATTTAAGAGTAGTTTGGCTGTGGTTTTAGTAGCAAAGGGCTGAATTTAAAACCTGCTGTTACAAAGCGGTAGGTTGGACTGGAATAGAACACTACCTTGTTTAGTACAAATACACTTTCTGGTTCCCTATTAAGTTCTCCAGCAGAACTGTGGAACCATAAATGCCAGCTGCAATTCATTGCCAAGCTGCTTTTCTTTGCTCCTTTTTAAGGACCTCTCAGATCGAGAACTCTTTGTCTGAATGTTTAGAGGGAGAGGTTGCGTTGGCTATGACAGGACCATTCATTTATACTTGGTATAGCTCTAGTATTAAAAACATAAACTTTCTGAAATCCTGTTATTCCTTTAATGGACTTCTCCCTTAGAACAGCACCTGTATTATAGAATCCACCTGCAAAATATCCTCCTGTTTTCACTGAGAGAAAACAAGTATTTCCTCTCAGGCTGCAGACACAAGTGTAGCAGAGCAGTGCTGGGAGGGATATAAATAAGGTAATACTCTGATTTTACCAATGAGTGGCTAAAAAAAGATGCCTGTGTGGGAATGACCTTTAACGGTGACCTGTAATCATGGAAGCTTTCAGTTCCTGCTGGGGTTTAGAGGCACTTTCTCCTGCAATTTTAGTAAATGGAGGTGGAAGTCATTCAAGAGCTATTAGGGAGATGCACAGCATTTTTAACAGGAAGGAGCATCCAGGAGTCACGAAGCAGCTCTCAGAAGTCACCTACTTGCTGAGTCTGTTGCTTACAATGTCAGTGCCCACACGAGGTACAGCTGAGAACAGATTAAGGGTTGCTTTAGGCAAACCTTATTAGAATACCAACTTTTTAGCTTATTTTTTCCCTTGCTGTCAAAAGCATGCTTGTACCTTTTTTCTTCCATCAGGTGTTGAACCTGTTGTTGAAACTGGAATAGAAATCAGAGCTCTTGAAGCTACTGTGTTGTGGAAATGGGCAGCTGGATTAAGGAGGAGATCCAAATGAGTATTCCTGCTGAGGGAAGGGCAGCAGCATGATCTCAGCCACATTATCATTCACAGGGGAATTCAGGACCACAGGGTCACAGGAAACCAGGCTTCATAACTTGTTTTTCTGTGTCTACAGTATTAAACAGTAGTGGGGTTTGTTTCATGTGGTTTTGGCTTTGTCTTGGTTTTATCTTAAATGCATACTATCTGATCATTAATGAGAGTTCTCCACCTGTATTTCAGCTACTCATTTCCTAATCCTCCAAGCGGTCTCTAGTGATCCTCCTTTGTTTTGGTTTTAGATCATTTCAGGTCAGTTTCTTTCTGATAAAAAAGTGGGTACCTATGTAGAAGTGGATATGTTTGGCCTACCTGTTGATACAAGAAGAAAAGCATTGAAGACCAAGACCTCTCAAGGCAATGCAGTTAATCCTGTTTGGGAAGAAGAAACCATAGTGTTTAAGAAGGTCAGTGTAACACTTGCTCCCAAAAGTGCCTCATGCTTGATTTATCACTGTCTGGTAGCATAATGTTCTGGTTTGCTGAAACTTTGCATTTGCTAGAAAGAAGAGATTTTGAGTAGATATTTCTTAAACTGTTTATTGTTAACCACGGAGGGTGTAATTTTGCTAATGTAGTTGTGCCAGCTCCTAATGATGTTAATGAGTTTAAAGTCATCTTGATTGTTTCACTGACGCAGCTGGAATCAGTGAGACGTCGATAGGCTCATCTGCATGGCACAGTGCAGTGCCACTCGATGAGCAAGCACAGCTCCCAGCAGCAGTTCAGCTGAATTACCGTGGTGTTTTGCCTTGCCTGAACAGCCCTCCTGGTATCCTGTGAGCAGGAGGATGTGAATAACAGCCTGGCTGTCCGAGCTAGCACATCAAAAGCAATCTGTTATCTCTCCTTAGTGCTCCATTGTGCTATAGATGAGATGAGACAACATAAATCCCATCCACTTGAAGTGAGACATAGGCTCCTGAGTTACTTGTGCAATTTGAACAATATTACCCAGACTCAGTTCTTTGAGGGAGAAGAAAATACTGAGCATGTTTGAGGGTTGTGCAGTGTGAATTTCTTGCTGTGCTTCTCAATACACTCCCAGCCAGTTTTTTTTAATAGGGTCTCTGGCTTTTGCTTATTGGGCCCTGTGGTTGAGTGGATCCTGACTCCAGGTGTTTGTAAACCAATGTATGTTATATTTCCTTCAGCAAAGATAGCTCACAGAGGTGTTTACACAATCAGTACTGCCAGCCCTGCTTTCCAGGGAGTGCAGCCCTTTTGCCTGAATATTTGGCCTTCTGAATGACTTTCCTTTGGCAGCCTGCCCAAGCTTAAGTTTGGAAACATCGCTGGCATTTTTCTTCTGTAATGAACTTCTAATTAGTGTACTTCATTTCTCTATTTAGTTAACGATCATGCCTGACTGCCTCTGTGCTCAGAGCAGCATAGAGTGCTATTTTTAGTGATGTTGAAAATAAATAGAGAAGCTCTTAGGTTTTGGTTTTTGTTTCCTGTTTCTTTTTCCTTTTTCCTTTCATGGTCTAGATAAATTTTGGCATATGTGCTGAAATAACGCATATCTGTGCCCAGGTTAGAAATACCTGTATTTGTATGTATATCTGCAGTAAGTAAGAAAATTAGATTAATTATACTACACGTCTTTTAAAGTAATATTAAAGATCCCTATATTAGTTTCTTGGGTGTTTTTTCACTGTTTGGACTTCTTTCTTATGTGGTGCCATGGAAGCATCCAATGCTTGTGAACATCCTGCCCAATTAAATCCTTTTAGCCTAGCCAGTGAGTATGCTGCAGCACATTCTACTGGGGTTGACATGGTTCATGTCATTCATACATTCATACTCTGCAAAGCAGGTTGAGTTCCTTGTTGAGTTTTCAAACACTAATCTGCCTGTCAGTGGCTTTTCTTAGTCAGTAAGTAATCCCATTGGCACAAAGGAAAAAACCATGTAGGACTGTGAGTAATGATCAGAAATCGGTGTTCACGGGGGCTTGAAGTTGAGCTGATGTGATCCCTTGTGTCACATTGAAAACAGAGGGTCAAACTGCAGGGTTCAACATACTATGAGTGTTTCATGACTGAAAAATGTTTCTGTGAGGGTTATCTTGACATGCAGCTGCACCCACCCTGACCTCCTTTATGGTAAGACCTTCCTATGGATGTGTAGTTGTTACTGTCTGCTAGGCTGAACTTTCTCTGCTATATTGCCTATGAAAGGAGCTGTTTCATTCAGAGCAGAAAGTTAATCACACAGCAATATTGCCTTCTAGGTCGTTTTGCCTTCCCTGGCATGTTTGAGGCTAGCAGTGTATGAAGAAGGAGGGAAATTCATCGGTCATCGGATACTACCAGTCTCAGCAATTCGACCAGGTAAACCTTGTTCTCCGTTTGGACAGTTGTTGTGTAGGAAAAAGAAACAGCAAACCAGAATCTCAGCTGCTGTAGATCAGCAGCCACTCTGCAGATTTGTAGCAACTGGAGGTTTAAACAATCTATCTCAACTTTGCAAAGGGAAACACCATGTTTCACCAGTCATTTCAATTGAAATGAAACTGCATGCTCACAGATTTATGCTAAAAGGTGCACACTTTTGAGTGGAAAGAGTGCAGCAGCCCATTTTGATATCATATTTGTTACAATGGGAGATGGCTGGGAAAGGAAGCAAGATATGTTCCTCTAATGTAATTTTTACATGCATGTAAGGACCGACCTATAGACAAGCTGTTGTATCTTTGTAATAGCTTTAAATCAACCCAAAATTACTTCCATCTTCATTGATGAAACAAAAACAAACCAACCAAAAAAATCATTGCTGCTCTCTTCTAAATCAGATTATGTCTATTATAATTAGTGGTACTTAAATGAAAATTGACGTGTAAAAACAGCCCTTATTTTCCAGGCCAGAGACTTGTTAGAAGTCACGTTTCAGAAAGATGCAGGGACACTGGAATTTTGAGCAAGAGAAGCATTCGACTTCAGTGCCAGCTCTTCCAGTGAGGGGAGGAAATTAATTAGGGCAAGCATATGGGCCATAAACATGCTCCCAGCTTCACTCACACTGGAAAAGGAAGAATATCTGTATCTAGCCTCTACCTTATGCTTCCAGCCCCAGCAGTAGCGCAAAACTCACATGTCCCTATATCTAACTGTTGTTCATATTATTCCTAAAGACCTGGTCTCAGGTAAGGTATAAACCAGTCCCTTCTCTTGAAGTAGGCCCTTCTAAGAGCTCCAAATGGTTTTGCCTGAGCTGGTGTGGGTCGCATGGCCTCACTGGAAGCGCAGACAGGCTGGCCAGGGGAGGTGGCTGCTGGTCATGTCACTGCTCCAGGGTTTCCTCACCAGTTGTCACTCCTCTTTACCTTTTCCTTCCCTTTTCTCTACCCTGCTTTTCTCCACACATCCCTGCCCATTCGGCTCTGCCAGCTCTGCCAATGTCCACAGCTTTGTCGTGAGCCAGCTCGGTTTATCAATGCAGCAGAAGACTCTCAACTTTTTTATTCCAGATGCATTTTCTGCTGGCTTAATGGATGTAATTGTCCTCAAAGTGCAGAGGAAGACAGGTGATTGGAGAGGACAAAGGGAGATGTGAAGGATTTCCCTCTTCTCATGAAAGTGAGCGTGGCTGGTCACCTTTCATGGAGCTTGCCCTTCCTGCAGCACAGAGTCCATTCAGCAGAGCACTGAATCATGCAGCTGCTTTTAAGCTTGTGCTCTCGAGAACAAAGGACACTGTGTTAAATCAGACAAGGACTTCCAATAGCTTTTACCCATGGGCCTAATCTCTATCGTTTCAACTCCAGTTATCATTAGTCTACAGCATGCTGATTTTAGTTTGCGTTCATGCTGATAATGTGCACAAACTGCTGAAGGAGCATGAGAGAAACCTTTGAAATACATAGTTTCTGTCTTTTTTGAGACATTATTGAGAAGTGTATCATGCTGTCATTCAAATCCACAGAATTGCCATTATTCCCAAAGCAAGGATTGAGCTGTTAACTTGGACAGGGAGTTGTTCACATCAGCCAAGTGAGGATCCTCCAGATAGGTGCATCCTGCTCATGACTTGTATTCTGATGCTACCCATTTATGTGGCTCCGTGGCCAGGCCTTAGAACAGCAGCTTCAGCCATGGCGTGAGAGGCACCAGTTTGCAAGGCAGAGGATGCAGCTTTGCAGCACTGCAATTCTGTATGAGTTTGTTGGGTCTGGAAGTTCTTTCCTCCCATCCCAACCTGTGTGCTTCCATCACTGCCTTATGACCTTATGGGGAGGCATTTTGGGGAGCTAAATTGATGGAAGACTCTGCTATTTCTTAGGGTTGCTTTTTCCAGACTTTATCTTGCTCAGCTGCCTGTCTACAGTCACAAAAGTGTTAGGGAACAAGACAGAGCAGGGGATGATGGTAGGTGGCTGGGAGAAAGGGGTTGAGACTGTTCCATCTGTGGTGCCTTGACATGAACTTAGCTAATCTGCTCTGTAATGCATGCCCTCACTCTTACAAGACAGCCAGCTTTCAAAACAGCCTGAAAATACTTTGGGTTTTAGATATATTTCTAAGATTGGTCACATAAGAGGATTCATACGCACATACTTTGTAGATATAGTGCCACATTGTCTGGTTTTTAAAAGGGATGCTGTGTTGTGGATGGGTTATTACATCTCAGTTTTACTTGGCTGTTCAGATTCCTGAGTACTACAAGGGTCACTTCTGAAAATTAAAGAAGAGCTAAAAAAAACCCCAAAACAGTCAAAGGTAATAAAGTAGAATGCATCAAAACTATCATTTTTAGTATTATCATTGTATAAATTACAATTTTTAGCATTATTCACAGATGTAAAAATGAAGGAAATATATGATTTTAAGCTGCAGTGTCTTGTGCCTTTCTAACAGTCCCTTGTCTTATACTTACCCCTGGAACCCTTCAGGTAAATCTTTCCTACCAGGAGTGCCTGGGGTTGCTTGCTCAGCTGGAGCCACACTATAAATAACAAATGATAACACAGTTACATTAGAAATGCCTGTGGAAGAGTTTATGCTCTGAACTGGTTGTTTCTTATTTTGCAGGCTATCACTACATCTGTTTGAGGAACGAGAGGAACCAACCTTTGACACTGCCAGCTCTCTTTGTGTACATAGAGGTCAAGGACTACGTACCTGATACTTATGCAGGTAAATCTGTGACATTTTTGTACTGAAAAAGGTTAATTGAAATGCAAAATGCATGTGGTGGAGATGACTTGCCCCAATGAGATAACAGACCCGCGTACAAACCTCTGCATCCGATGGATCATTATGTCTCATCACTCATACAAGAGGGCCTGATTCACAGCGACCTGCCTGAGGTTTAAGATTAGGCCAGCTCTTATTTTCAGCAGGCCTTATATGACTCTAAAGGAGGAAATACCCCCGACATTTGCCATTGAAACACAAATGAAACTTGGCTTACATGACGCAGTAGTATGTAATTGTTTCCTACGCAAAGTGCCATGCTCAATGTCCACCGTTGTGTTATGGAATTGTCTCCAGACAAGGGTAGATTTACAGACCACACTGTATTCTGTATAGCTAGTTTGATTTTTAAGAAACCCAGTGTTCCTCAGTGCATCACGTGAAGCAGGATCCTGGCGGGCTGATGCTGTAAGCTTTGAAAATCCATCAGAAAACATTGTGCAGAAAATTGCACATCCTTGAGACCCAAGCTCAAAGTCAAAGACTGTTCCTGCTAGAGAATTTGTGCATGATGGTGCACTCCCCTCCGCTGTTTCTAGGACCTAGGAGTAGCTATCAGCAGCAGATCTGTATGAAAAACACTGTTGCTTTCTTAAAACCTGAGGAGCACAAGAACCATGACATAAGGGCTTTGAAACTGAAGTGTTTGCATTATTTCTAGATGTGATCGAGGCCTTATCCAATCCAATCAGATATGTGAACTTGATGGAGCAGAGAGCTAAGCAATTGGCTGCACTGACTCTGGAAGATGAAGAAGAAGTAAAGAAAGAGGTAAGGGAGGTTTCAGAGTCTCTGCAAAATAAGTTACAGTATTTAAAAGCATCTACTTTGCTTAGAAAGGCAAATACTGAAAGTCCTTGGGAATTGAATGTGTTGATTACTTGAACACCTGTAAACATCTCAGATAAAATACACCCAGAATGACACTCGGCTGTATTTACAGTGAGAAGCATTGCACTGTGTGTGTGGTTTCACTGCAAACAGCATGTTGTATATGGAACAAGTTACTGTTCAGAGGTAAAGAGATACCAAAAGCTGAATGAAAAACCAGGTTATGTATGTGCTGGTTATGTAGCATGTTATGTGCTATGTAGTATATGTAGTATATGAAGTCTTGAGAAGTCATTGTCTGTTGTTTCCCAGTGTGATGCTGAAGTTCCCCTTATAAAAAAGAGAATTCTGTGTTAGTAACTTGTCCTGAAAATATCACACATTTTCCACAATTCCAGGCTCTTTTCCTGGAGATGTTATTCTGTTGAGAAATGTTCATGTATCTCAGGCTATAATGTCTCTATACATTCCGCATGAGCAAACATGTCCTAAAGAGACCCGGTATAAGCACACAGTAATTTAGTTGGGAAGGGGTCTCCGGAGGTCAACTGATCCAACCCTTGATAGATCTTATGAAGAAAGATGAGGAGGGAGGAGATCACAGAGGAGACCATCACATTTGCAGTAGTTAGGTGTGTGGTTTGGGTGTATGGGATTACCTGTGGGCTAACCTGTAAGCCCTATCTTTCTGTCTAATTGGTGTGGTGCATACAAAAGCAGAGATGTTATTTTGAGCATAACTGAGAGTCCTGGCACTTCAGCTTTGGTTTCTGTTAAACTCCGTGCATTCAAACATTCAGTCTCTCAGTTGCAGACTGTCACTGGGACACCTTTTAGCAGTGTTTGAAAATATCAACCTTGTCTTACACAGATCTCTTGTGTCAGATGTTAGGCACATCCTGTGACTCAAAAGGCGCTCGGTACAGGTCTCTAGTAAAGATGGAGAAATGCATTATAATCCTGGATGGCCCTCAGCTCTGGTACCTGTCTTCTTCAATTCTCAGATGCGCAGAACATCATTGAACTAGATTTTGTAACCAAGAATACATTCCCAAAGCAGACCAGATGAGTGAAAGTCATTACAATTCAGTGGCCAACAATTTACTCTTTGTGCAGTGTCACAAGTTCGGCTGAATGAGGACACCGTGAAATGCTCAATAGCATCTTAGACATTTATCTAGGACGCTCTACACATGAGATTCTATTTTAATAGCAAAGTCTTTTTTTTTACCATGATCCTTTAAATACCTTGGAGGTCATTTTTACTTTTGAAATAGTACAGATTTTCCTGGTCTGTGCAGGCTTATTTGTTAGTTAGAAAAACCCTGGCACAGAGTATGTTCTAAAGCAAATGGGAAGAAGGAAAGATGAATTGTAGCCCTCAGGTAGTGCTGCCATCTGTTGTGAATGCTCATAGGATAAAGTAGCTTGTTTTGGAGTAGCAGAAAAATACCTTTTAGGAGAAAACTGCCATGACTGTAGTGATGTTAAAAATGTATAAATGTTCAGTTAGGTGCCATAGCAAGAGACAGGTACAAAACTGCTGCTTTAAGTGCAATCTGAACACCATTGTTGCCTTCTGTTTCTAAACGTCCCTCCTGAGTAATGAATCATATTAGGAGATGACAACATTTTCTTCATCACTCAGCCAGGCTGACTGCTTTGATCACTTACATGGGCCCAGGAGAATCACATCGGTTAATAATTGCAAGTAGTTCACTGGCAACATAGCTAAATAAACCCAAGTGTGTTTGCCAGGAATGTACACACAAGTGCACCTGGATTTGATTTTCCCACGTACAGCTTCACATTTACACTCTGTAAATGTCTGTGGGCTAAGCTGTGCTGTGTCCTAGCATAGATTCCACCTCCCCACACCTCCTTCACTCCCCTCACACACATTTACTTGTCTGAGCTGGGTTCTTGCAGCTCGTCACAGGAAAACTGAGGGGTTTTCTTTGCTACTTAGAAGTTCAAACTGCATCTTTGTCAGAAGCTCCGCAGGCTTCTTGCAAGCCAGTAGTCAAATCAGATCCCTGATAGTGAATTGTTTTGAACACATGAATTAGCCTTTCTTTAGGATTCAAGTTAAACTGCCTGTTAATGATCAGTGTAATAACATAAATAAAGAATGGTGAAGACCTGACAAAATTTACAGCAACTTTTCTGTGTGTTTCATACGTTCCTGCCATAATATGAATTCCTACCCTTAGCTTCCTGGTCAGCCTGGCCTTAGAAAAGGTATTTTTTCAGAATGAAGGCATTGTAATACCTCTAAGCGTGGGGTTTCCATCTTTAACTGTAAGTATCTGAATACATAGAAAACCTTTACGAGCATACAGGTAGTGAGGGTTCCCTTCTCTTCCCCTGGCTGGTGTCCTTTACAGAGAGGAGAAATAAGCCATAGCAATTTGCAGGATGTTCCTTGGTGTGACTTAACCCCAGCCTGAAGTAAGTTGATGTAACTAACTTGCACATTTTCACCCCAGCAGCCACAGCAGCAGAAGTGTGTAGGGGCTTGGTCAAAACTAGCCAGAGTGGGATGCATTTTGGCTGTTTTGCTGGTGTGATGTCCCTGGGGCTGTATGTTAATACCCACTGCAGAGGCAGGGAGTCAGGAGGCCTTGCTGGCTCAATAATGTGTCTGACATGGAAGCAGCAGAGCGTCTGACCTGTTGTTCCTATCCATAAAACAGTGTTGAAGTAGCAACTATTGTTTTGCGTGCTTGGATATAAATCAAATGAAGCCAGTTGGCTCCTTTGTTAAATCAGATGATTTTGATAGGGAAAGTAAACTGAAACATCTCTAGGAGAGCAGCTGCATCCGGCATAGCTGATACCACTCTTTAAACTGAAAATTCAGGCATAATTTTGCAAATCATAGCGATCACACCAAGTTGCAGTAATGGAAATCCAGTTCATTTGATGCTTTCTCTAGGGAGGTCATGCTTACACTTGCATTAGATTTCCCAACCCCAGTACATCACAGCTCCTTTCCTCTGTGTATATAAAAATAGACCATATTGATACGTACCTGTATGGGTACATATCTTTCTACGTAGTAAGTATACTGTCTTGCAAAAGACATGGTAACGTGGAATATAAACCAATTTCAGTGAATATTGAAACTATAAATTACAAGGCTGGATTACATCATGTTTTAAAAACAGCCAAAAATATTCTCCACCAAGGAACAATCGTGTTTACTTTGGTATTCTCTGTGATGAATTACGAGAAGAGAAAGTGCTTTTTAATGAGATTAGATTGCTTGATGTAGTGAAAATTACTCTCTATTCACTTCCTGATCCTGTCTCACATTTCTGCTTTAGCTTCTGAAAACAGATGGTTTGTGTCCAACCCTGACAGGGTATTAATAGTTCCTCAACAAGCTGCAGTGAAGCATAATCCCCCAAAAGGAAGATAATACCCACTTTCACATGCAGGGACTTTTGGGGCACAGACTTGCCAGAAGTTAGGAATTCTAGCTTCATTTGTATTAAATGCTGATGATCTGTATAGCAAACATTGTTTTTATTAAACTAATGAGTTGCATCTTGTGAGGAGTATGTTTTAAGGAGAATTGAGGGGATGACCATGTGTTTTGCCACAGCTACATCATTCTGTCATGAATGTTGGCTAGATCATGTTTTTCCTTATTTTACTGCAGTCATTCCTGCTTGAGATAAATGATGTTGTTGGCATTGGTTTTCAATTGCATCATGTTTCTGACTACAGTATCTCTCTCCTATAATTTTAGTAGAAATAGGCTACTGAGACAGAAATAGTTCTGCAATATGCAGTATGTTGTCAGGGCCAAGACGAAGGCAGCAGCAGCAGGAGCAGCACAAAACACTTAGATCAAAATGTATTTTGCCTCTGATGATGCAGTGCAGGCTGATGCTTTGCAAGTGTGGAGTAATCAAGGGGAAAAAACCAACAATTGCGGTATCCTGCCTCTGCGTGTAATGTGATTGCCATCAAAGAATGCAACGGAGCAGCTGAAGGAACAAATCCAAAACCACCCTGAGACACCATGGCAACTGGCCCCTTGCAGGGACAGCAGGAAGCAGGGCTTGGCCATTACAGCAGGAAGCAGGGCTTGGCCATTTCAAAATAAGAATGGCTTTGAATGACCTTCTTCTTGCTGAGTGCTGGGTGCTTGCTTAAAAGCAAGGGAAATAAGGTGTTTAATGCGTAGTACAACGCACGCTGTAAGCCTGAGCCTTTAGGAAACTGGAGCGAAAGAAAAGCTTGTGGAAAATGCTTAAATATTTGGATACCACAGATGTATTTATGCAGCAGGATGGAGGTACTGTTTACATATTATCCTTGCAGTGTAATTACAAGAATGTAAGATCTTGGGAATCAGAAGCATGTCTCTGTTCTGTAAGAATGGTGAATAACAACAGTGCTGCATGTAGCTATGGAATGTGAAAGTAATTTTGTGTACGCGTTTTGTTCACAGCAGGGATTTGAGTAGCATTTTCAAGCCTGCTTCTGTGTTATTTCTAGAAAGGTTTTATGGCAGAAAACAATGCTTTTCAGTAAAAGACAGATTTCACATCTGGTGCAGCTAATATGGACTGTGCTGAGAGACATCCCCCATGAGTTATAGCCTCTTATAAGAAAAATACTCTTTCAGAACAATACATACTCTATTTCTTCTTGAAATTTACCCTGCAAAATGAACCACCTGGATTACCAGAGCTCTTAAGGATATCGTTTTGGTTGGTTTGCTGTTAGAATGATTTGTATATAACATTTAGAGAATATTACATATGTAAAAAAGAGGCTAAACTAGACCTACAGATAAATAATAGAGGTCTGTTAGTTAGGAAGAATAACGGAAATCATTCTGTATTTCCAGATTGACCATGGAGATGCACCATCGGAAGCTAACAGTGAACCTAGGCCAACACCAGCAGAAAATGGAGTCAATTGCACTGCCTCTCTTACACCGAAACCAGCAACTCAGGTTGTCCATAGCCAACCAGCACCAGGTAAGAAAAGAAAGGAAAACCAAAAAGGTCCCATCTTTCCAAAATAAAGCTGGATAATAATTCTTCATGTGCTTGGCATTTAAAGAACAAAGTTGGGGCATTGCATTTTGTTGGTTTGGTTTCATAAAATAGGTGTAAATTTTCCTCCTATTATTGTATGCTGTTAGGGCCAGTCTTCTTCAAATACACAAGTATCTTCTACTTAAGAGTTGCTTTTCTGGCACAACTGAAGTTCATTAAAAGCAATAAAACTTGGGGTTTGTTTTTCTGTTTGTTGCAAGTGCAGGAATGTCTTTAAATCATTTTGAAAATATGCATGATTTATGCCTATAGTTACCTCTAATTCCACACACAAAATAGTCTTAGATACTTCTATATTTTGAGAGGTATTGAAACATCTTCTATAACGAATGCTTGCTGAACCACTGTTTCAATTTTATGACTGCAGTCTTCACAGGCTTGATCTAACTGACTTCCAAGCAGCTGGATTTGTCTTGTGCACAGAAATTTTGCACTGACAGCATAACATAGGGCAGTTGTACTAAACAACAGCCTAATACCACTTAAATGACTCATATGAGTGAGCTCAATACCATCCTTCTCAGAAGGAAAACAGCAAAGCTCAGGTGGGTGTTGGAAGGTTCCCTTTTTGTGTGGGTTCACAGAACCATAGAATGGTTTGGGTTGGAAAGGACCTTAAGATCATTCAGTTCCAACCCCTTGCCATGGGCAGGGACACCTCACACTAAACCATGCCACCCAAGGCTCTGTTAAACCTGGCCTTGAACATGACCAGGGATGGAGCATTCACAGCTTCCCTGGGTTCACAGGATCAGTGTTGCTGTTGCTACCCTTCTGGGTTTTCTCAAATGACTAACAAATGCCCACGTCAGTGTGCATCCTGTGTCACCTACCATGTTTTAATATGCAGGCCAAGCAGCACGATAACGGCTGTTGTCTTAAAACAATTAGAATTAGTCATCTGTTTTACCTCTAGGTTCGGTGAAAGCACCTGCAAAGACAGAAGATCTTATTCAGAGTGTCCTCACAGGTAATAAATATACACTTTACACTGCATGAATGCTGCACTTCTTTGTCAAATACACTTTTTATGAAATAGGCCATCTGGCTTAGACACTTCTATGAGCAATTGGGACTGCAGTAACTCATAGAAAATGAGCAAACCATGTTTTCCTCCTCAGCTCTGAAGGTATTAAATGCTTGAGCATGTCTCATAGGATCAGTATTGGGTGCCAACAGGGAATTTTTTTTAAGTATCCCAGTATTGTAGTTTCACAGGCACAACGTTACCATCTAATGCAGACAAAAGACCAGCACCATTATAAGAAGCTAAATTTGCTCTGAATATTGTGAATAGTAGTGAAACCATTTTATCTTCATTGCCCTTGCAGTGTTCCCATTGCTCCTACAAAACTGAAAATGAACATTACATTAAGCAAAGTGGGCTGTCAGTTAAATAGTGCCCTGCTGTTCAACTGGGAGTTCTGTCCTCCAGCTTGATGTTAGATTGCAAACCTCCTAGCTCAATTTATTTTATAGCCAGTCTCCTATGTTAGAATAAATCTTATGTAGGCCTATATTTAGGAGTAGAAAACAGATAAGACCCGTGAAATCCTGTGTGTTGAGAGCCTCTTATTCAGTCTCCTTCATGTGCGGTACAAAGAGGCTGGCCTTGATTGTGTTAGTACCTGCTGGCCTCATACAGTCAGTCTGTTTTCTGGGAAGGACTCTTCAGGCTGTTTTTTCTGTGACCCCAGATCATGCAAGTCATCTTTTTGGGCTTTGGTTTTGGGGTTTTTTTTGAATTGCTGTTTCAGGGTGAGCCCGTACAGGTCAGATGAGCAGACACTGAGCTCGAGCTGTGATCTAGGTTCACAGAGCAGGGCATCCTTCATAGCTGTGGTTGGATGACAGCACTAGACTGCTACCAACTTAGCTACCAATCCTTCGCTGGACTGGTAGTTAGATGGCCATGACTCCTCTGATGAAGGATCTCCATGAAGAAGAAAAGTCTCTCCCAAGATGCCAGGATGATACCAGGACAGATGCCTCCAGGCAGTAGAGCAGGCAGCTGAAGTGCTCTTTATGAAGGGGGTTTAGGCATCAGCATGTTAATATCGCCCATCCAGAGTGAAGGGAAACTTGAAGTGTTGGTACAGTGGGTATAAGAAAGATCTGTACTCAGATCTGTGTAAGGTCATGTTTTTATATGTTGAGCTGATGGGAATCTTTTGCATCTGAAAGGGCTTGAGGAAAGAAAATACATGGGTTTTATTTTGCTGCACATCTTGGTGTTCTGAATTTTCATCTCACTTCTTACTCTTCTATCACTTAGAATTGTCACAGTATTATTAGTCTGGTTAGCTTACTTCCAGGTAAGTCTACTCAGTTTAAGCTAGCACATTTCACTTACCTGCAGTAAAGCAGCATGCTTTGTTTCATCCCTGCTAATGGCAGTTCCTGGGTTCTTTGACTGAAATCATCCATTATTAGAAAAATGAAGTGGCTTTTGTTATTATCATTGTAGAAGTGGAAGCACAGACCATCGAGGAGCTAAAACAACAGAAGTCTTTTGTTAAGCTTCAGAAGAAGCACTACAAGGAAATGAAGGACCTTGTGAAGCGGCATCACAAGAAAACCACCGACCTTATCAAAGAGCACACTGCAAAGTACAATGAAATCCAAAATGACTACCTGCGACGGAGATCCGTTCTAGAAAAGACAGCAAAAAGAGACAGTAAGAAAAAGTATGTTGGACATAGCATTCCTGTTTTGGTAGAGCAGATCTTCACTTAAGTCTTCTTTTATAGTAGACAATTAATATGGAGGTGACATTAAAGTAGAGGAAAAAATCAAAAGCAGCAAGATTCCCAAGTAAAATGAAGTCAGAGCCTTTGATATGGAAATCCTCAGGAACAGTGGTCTCCATGACGTGCTGCTCTCCTGCTGGAAGCCACATAAGTTGTTCACCATGTTACATACCTCTTTCCCTGTAAATGAGGGCATCCAATATTTATTTGGGACTTGCCCTAGACCACTGGTGTGGGTAACTCAGCTGTGCTGCCAACAGCAGTCACTGGTTAGGTAGTGAGCTTAATCACAGCCTATCAGAGGGGGCATTCACTGCATACCAAACAGTTGAGAAACCAGACTGCAGCACAAAAGAACTCAGACCCATCTGGATAAAGGGTTTTCCTTTCCTACTTGGGTCAACTGCAGCACGTTTCATCAGAGCACGTCATCTACTCCCATGCTGACCTCCTTTAGGAGGGGTTCCATGGAAACTTCTGCTCCACACTTAATAATATACCTTTATAATATAGCTCCCTTTTCAAGCAAGGAGAAGGTTTTACAGCCATCACACATGGTCATCCTGCCCATATTAAGCAATTTGTTTACTCTAGGCCACCACAGTGTGTTTGCTGGTGGTGGAAGAGACCCAAGTGTCAAACTAGGAACAAAACTAAGTCCTCTTTTATACTATTTATGGGTGAAACAGACACTCTGAATCTGGAGATGGAAGAGCATTGTCTCCAAGTTAGAGCCCTTGAAATAACTCACACTAGAGTAGAAGGCATCAGATACATAATTAGGTGAAAGAAACACTTGAAAGTTATTAACATTTACCTACTGTTTAAATTATGATTGATCAGACCACTTGGGGATCTCTTAATGATTGCTTGGCTTTGCCTCTGCATGCACGTTCCTTCTGTGCTATGTCTATCTCGAAGTCTTGCATTTCCCTATCTCTCTGTGTGGGCTGATATGATTTTCATATCACTTGTTGAGGTAATAATAAGGAAGGAGAGTTGTATTTATCATTATCAGTCTGAAATGCAAAGACTGTTATGACTTGATAATCTTTCCACAGTTATTGTCTTGTTCATGTGGCAAGGCTCTATATCTTAATAAAGAGCAATTCTTGTGTATATGGCAAACGTATACATGCGTGTGTGTCAGACATTGCAGTGTCTGAAACTGTTGGAACTGAACTTTTATTTCTCCCATTAGTGCAGCATTCTCATTTTAACATAACTTATTTTTTACAGTAATTAGATAAGCACAAAATTCCTTTAACTTTTACACAAAATTTATATGGCTGCAGTTCTTAAATATGAGGACATTGAATGAGCATTAACTAAAATGACCTGATACTTTATGGTAGGAGATCATCAGAGATAAAAGCTGCAAGCATGCTCTGGCTGCCAACTTTGTTAATTGTATACCTCTAAATGTTAGTGACTGGGATTCAGGCCATAACTTGTCCCTAGGAAGGAGCTTATTCATTTATGCTTGCTTAATGACAGAATGTCATTGAGTTTAATAAGAGCTTAACACTCATAATATACCTATGTTCAGCTGGCCTTAACTGTTGCCAGTTTTCAGGCTTTTGGGTTCTACACTTGAGTTCAACAAACTCCCTTAATGGCTGGATGGCAACTGCACACAGCGATATTTTATCCATCATCAGTGTGTGTGACAGTGGCAGACAAAGCAATGTCATGTTTCTTTCTTTTCTCCTATTCAAATGGGAGCAGAAAATCGAACTGAATAAATAAAACAACTCATCTTTGAGGAAAAAGCTGGGGCGGGAGGGGGGGGTAACAGAAATCTGACAATAAATCAGTATCACGCTGTAAAAACCTGCAGTCTATTCCACGGAGCTGTCACAGTGATTTCAGAGATGTGAAGTTTTATGTGCAGATACAGAGAAATCTGCAAGTTGGAAAATCTGAGGTTGAATTTTAAAAAGGCAAGGACTATATTTGTAGGGATTTTCAAACTTGCAAACACATACTGGCTCAATCAGCAGGCTTCTGATAGAATACTGCATCCCAAGGAAAATTGCCATGTTTATCATTTTCAGTTATTTCTGGAACTATTTGCTTTAACTGCAAAGAGTAAAACACTACTTCATCAGGAGCCCCTCTATCAGATTGCTGCAAAAAAGTAGTCTGTGGTCAGATGCAATCCGTTGTTTCATGCCCTTGCCTAAAATTGGGTCCACATTCAGTAAAGCCATTGAGGTATTTTGTTTATACACGTGCACAAGGGTTTTGCTGGTGATGTTCTGCAGTTTCTTTAATGATTGTGTCCCTTAAAAGGCAGTTTTGCTATTTTAGCCAGCATTTAGAAGTAGGCCTTATTTCTTCTTCTCAAAGATACAAGAGAAATGTATATTGTAATGGCATATATGCTGACATTAATATTCATCAATGCTGCCTATAGTTAAATTGTCCTCACCTATCCCACTGACACCACTTAACCTCTTAGTGGAATATTCAGATACAACCAAAACGGAAGAAATAAGAAGAGGCTACCTTGGGGTTTGTTTCCTCAGATGGATGAAAGCAGCCTCGCATTATTTCAGTTGAAGTAACTGGAATTGACAGCAGCAGCAAACTTGAACCCAGGAGACAGGCAGCGGTGTGGCGAGTTCTCTGCATTGTGAGCTGTGCATATATCTGAGGAGCAACCTCATTTTGCTCACTGTTCAAGGTTTTGCTGTTTTAGCTGTCTCGGGCACTGTTCTGAGGTTTCCCAGGCAACTGCTTTAACACCTGAGCACAGCAGTAAACACAGCAGCGGAGCAGGGACACAGCCTGTGAAGGGGTTTTTGGCCATATTTGTCTTGGTTTTGGTTTAGTGCTGGCCTGAGAATGAGGCTGCTTTTGCTGCTTATTTTTCCCTTGAGCAGTTTAGTGTCATCATGTCTCCTTTCCCAATCACTTCTCTCCTTCCTTCTCTCTTAAGACAGAATAAATAGAAAACAAAAACCAACCCAGACTGTTCCTCAGTTTTGGCTACCCCATTATATCTTTCCTTTGCTCCTCTGTGCTTCCTTTCTGAGGTTTACTCCCCACTGGGGTGTTAAATTCCCTCCTAAACTCAGCAGCCCATAGAGCACTTCCCTCTCTGTGTGCTATGCATGGCATTTCCTGAAGGGGGGAGAATTTACTAAAGAAAGGGATGAAAGGGATGTTTTATAAATGCATATATAAAGCTACACTCATAAATCTATTGCTGAGTGCATGCAAGGATGACTCTGTTTTCACAGTACTTAGCAGTCACCATCTCTGCTGAGGACTGCGCAGCTTTGAAGTTGGAGTTACATGTCTAGAAGTGGATAAACAAGTTGATGGGCATCTGTTTATGGGAAATCTTGGCAGTTTCATTTATAGCTCATTCATACTCTGGCTCACACCACCATGATGGGTTGGTAAAATGAGGTTTAAAAGCAACAGCCATCCCATGAATAAACTCTTAACGCAGTTTTTTCCTTAAAGGTTACATTATTGGACTTACTAGAGCTAAAATCAGCTTCTGGCCCTATAGGGGGTGCTCAGAAACTTATGGGACTATATATAACCAGCTGCCGCAAAGATATGGGATGTGGTGATTTAGACCTTGTCTGCATCTGTTTGTCTTTGCAGATCTGAAACAGGCAGCCCAGACCACAGTTCTTCAACTATTGAACAGGAATTAGCTGCACTTGACTCCGAAATGACCCAGAAGCTAGTTGAGCTGAAGGAGAAGCAACAACAGCAGCTGCTGAATCTCCGACAGGAGCAATATTACAGTGAGAAGTACCAGAAACGAGAGCACATTAAGCTGGTACATTTGTTATGTTGTCTGCTTTGCTTTAGCGGTCTCAGGGCGAGTAATGAAAGCAGCATGGCAATATAATTAAGTGGGGCTTCCTCTTACTGGGAGTCCATCTCGGAGCTTGATTTCCGTGTGATCTGCTGCAAGTTCAAGGGCTTGTTGTGTCTGTCACTAAAACTTGTAACAACTTGGAAGGGTTTGGACGGAAGGGGGAAAGGCAACAGGATTATTGCTACTGCTAACACAGAGGCCTTACCTCTAGTTACGCAAGTCTCAGTTTACTGCAGCCTTTGGATGGCGTTCCCGTTTTGTTCTGCCACTTTTTTAAACAGAAAACACTCAAGGAGGCAGGAAAATAGGTTGAAATCGCATGAAAATAGATTCAAACATGCCCTCAGGGCACAGAGTTGTGCCAAGCAGTGTTCCTGTTGCAGATGAAGGCTTTAAGGGGATGCAGGATATAATCTGTATATAGCAAAGAAAGAGTTTGTGTTCACCAGTCCAAGCCAGCTTGTTTTTACAGCTGGAGTTTGGCTGACAACTACAGCAGGATCTGAGGCCCTCTGAGCTGAAAAGGAGAAGCTTGGGCAGATGGCAGCTGATGCTGCTGGATGCTCTCAGGCAGAAAAGAACATTTTTAAAGGGTGTTACAGGAGTGCAAACTGTTCCTCAAGTCCAGGCAATCCTCTCACAGCTCTTTTCCTATTATATGATGTTTTGCCTTATTACGTGTTGGGTGAATTGATTTGTCTGCTCTGCCCTGCCATCCAAACGGAGCAGGTCAGAGGAGTGATACGAGTGGATCTCTCCCAGCAAGGCCTCTTCACAAAGTCACTCTTGTGGATCACAGCACAGGGCTGCAGTTCCCAAGTGGTGCCCTGTCTATCACCAGTTGTATGTCCACATTCAGGTAACAGTTTGTCTGCATCTCAGAGGTTTTAGTCATTATAAAAATGACCCATTTTTGACCCACATAGTTGAGCCTCCATTCAAAGCTAACTCATTTAGCTAATTTCAGAATGGGAAATGGCATTTGTCAAAGCAAAGTTACATTTTCAGCGTTACCTAGTTAGGGTAGTGTCAGGATAAGTGCATTTTTTGGCACAGAACTTTCAGACAGTTTTCCCTTTGAGCTGTGCAGGAGTTAATATTCCAATTAAAATCTGCCTTGCAGCTGAGAGATTCTTTGTGATGTATTTCTTTTAGAGGAGAGCCTATTGTTGGTATCTTTCTTCTTTTATCTAAGGACTGAAAAGCTGGATCAGACTCGCTAGGCGTTATTGTAACGTTCTCTGGATCCTCATCCTGAGGGGATTATTTTACAGAATCAGACTTAAATTAGAGGGGGTGATCAAATCAAATTGGTCCCATTTCCAACTTTAATTCACCACTCACTGAACTAGCGCACAAGCCCTGTCAATGTCTCCTCTCCATCAGCATCACCACCATGAGAGCCCTCTTTTTATTAGTGGTTTCAGCACGAATGGGACTGGTCCCAGCAGATTTCAAACCAGTGACTCGGATTCTATTGAATCCACAATTCTGTGATCAAAATATAGGCTATGTTTCTCTATGCTTAACTTTCTCAGCTCTCATGAGTTTTCAATATCCACCTGACCACCCTGATATCCAAGCTGTTCCATGTAATAATGCTCAATGCAAGAGGAACGTTTTCAGCACTCGCAGAGAACCTTGAATACTCAGTGACACAGGAATTCAGTTTGTAATTTCTACTGCATACATTCGGTTTGTGACCGGGTATGAATTACACAGACATTTTAATTCCTAGTAGAGGTAAAAGTTGCAAAATGTATTTGTTTTTAGCCTTATAATATCTGAGGGAGGCCTACAAGGGTGCTGGAGAGGGACTCTTCATCAGGGACTGTAGCGCTAGGACAAGGGGCGATGGGTTCAAACTTAAAACAGGGGATGTTCTTTACTGTAAGGGTGGTGAGGCACTGGCACAGGCTGCCCAGGGAAGCTGGGAATGCTCCATCCCTGGTGGTGTTCAAGGCCAGGTTGGACAGAGCCTGGATGAGATGGTTTAGTGTGAGGTGTCCCTGCCCATGGCAAGGGGTTGGAACTGGATGATCTTAAGGTCCTTTCCAACCCAAACCATTCTGTGATTCTATGTTTCTAATATCCTGAAACTGCATCACCTCAGTGTCCAGAGAAATAACAGTTTCTTTGTAAGCTGGACACACACAAGTCAGGCTGAACTCCAGAAGTTAAGAAAGCATTTACACTGATAAGACTGGCTTTTGAGCATTTGATTACTCAGGGAACACTGTAACACTTTCATGTCTGCTACAGACTTCTGAGGAAACTTTGATGCATGCCTGATGTTTAGCTGAAAATACATCTTTTTATTTCTTGGGATTTTCATTTTTTAGCTTATTCAGAAGTTGACAGATGTAGCAGAGGAGTGTCAGAACAGCCAGCTAAAGAAACTGAAAGAAACATGTGAAAAGTAAGGTGCTATTCCCCTTACAATTGATTACTACTCCCTGTTTTTTGTTTGGATGCATTTTGAACTTACTTATTTTCTACGCTTCAGAGAAAAGAAAGAATTGAAGAAAAAAATGGACAAGAAGAGGCAGGAGAAGATCACAGAAGCAAAGTCCAAGGACAAAAATCAGATGGAAGAGTAAGTCTATCCCTAGATCCGTACCCTTGTATGTTACGAGGAGGCAAGGTTTCTCACAGCTGGAAAATCGAAGAAAGGTCTCAATCCTAAATACAAGGCAGGTGTAATACCTCCCCAGAGCAGTGGAGCCCTTACTTGTGCTGATACTAATTTGATTTCCTGGGACTAATGTAATCTCCTGTTCTGTGAGCACTGAGAGTCTGGGGGGGGTCACAAAGGCGCTGGTGAGTGCTATGGGGACATGCCTGCGAGTGGCATGACCGAGTGATTCGCTTGGATGCTGTTAATCCAGAAACTGCACCTCTGAGTATAAATAGACTTAGTGGCTTCAGTTCCTGCAGGGTTTGATTTCACTTTAACTTAGGTTTTTATTTGTGGGTTATCTTTTCTTCTGAACTCAGTTAAGCTGCTCTCCAAAAGAAGTAGCAGCAACATACTGGAAGGTTTGCTCTTCTTTGGTGATAAATTCCCCTCGGATGCTGTGATTCTCCTCCAGTGACAGTGTTACTCAGTATGCAGTCTCTTTGGGTGTGAGAGAGAGAAAAGCTGAGCTCTGAGGGTGCTGTTCCTGTGAACAGGGACAGGAATATTCCTTTCATTCATGCACCACCAGGAAATACAAACTGTAGTTGTGCAAGTTAATCGTATTCTTCCCAAGGGCACGGGATCTCGGTTTGTTTGCACTCCTTCATTGCTTTGGCAAGCAACTCAAAAAGAAAATGGAGCATTTTAATCTTGCACTGTTTACTGGGATATTCTTGTTAGCAGCCTTTACTCTAATACCATTTAAGGACAGTTTAAAATACAGGAGGAAGAGCAGAAAAATCTGGAATTTCTGAGTTTTGTAAGTAACAAAGACACGACTGTGTTTGGTTTTCCGCAGGTAAAAGGGTTTATACAGGTTCTGGACCCTCTCAACATAGAATCTGTGTATGTGGTAACACTAAAAGAAGCTCACGCGCACACAACGAACTGCATCAGATAGTTTAAGAATCAATATTGTAGAATTTTTAGAAGCATCCTAGGAACAAAGATAACAAAGGGCGAATAACTGATTATGAAAACAGAAGGAGAAACACTTAATCTGGTTAGAGCTGGCCAGAAGGCATGGAAGTCATATTGGAAAAAAGTAGTTAGTCATTACAAAAATGTTATAGCAGTAAAAATCAATTGCAGTAGGAAATGACTTGCCGAGAGGTTCATGAGACACTGGTGAGAAGGGCTCAGAAACGCCATGTAGAAACGCTTTGGTTTCCTTTTATTTTGCTGTCATTTTTCCCAAGGGCTTTCCTTTGCCAGGCTTTTCCAAGAGCCCTTGGGTGAGTTGGGAACTACATGGGAAACTCGTCTTCCTCTGCCCAGTGACATAGTTTGTCCTCACTCTCGCAGTAGAGGAGAGAGTAGCAAGACCTTCTGGTGAATCCTATTTGAGTCACCCAGATGCTGGTTGTTTAGAGCTTTTGCACGTACTAGGAAAGAAATAAGACATTGCAGTAATTGTTCTTCCTTAATTTTTCTCACTGTGTAGCTACCTAAACCCATCAGATTTTAATGCCACCTGAAGAGCAATCCACTGTTCATGAGTTAGGCAGTGAGGTTTGAGAGTTCTGTCCTGAATCTGGTCAACTCAGGTATTCACAGATTTTTATTTTATGTGTGCCTTTATCCCTTTGGGGGATCTCATCTTCAGCCTTTGACCAGTGGTTACCTAATAACTATCTTACAGAAATACTTAAACCACATAAAGCTGAACTTGGGAGTAAATACTTTACACAGCAAAGGTGGGCACTGAATTCAAGTCTGCCCTGCTCTTTGGGGGAACTTTGCATTGTCTCTGAGATGTCACCAGCAGACTCTGCTCACTGATAGATTATTTCTCTACTATATAATGTACCACAATGTGGCAGTGTGCAGCTGCTGATGACAGCACGCACTGAGATGTCTGGGCCTTAAAAGGAGCACCACCATCACTTTGAAGACGTGGCAGTACCATATGGGAATAGCTTCTTGTGAAAGAACAGGGGTTTGTTGTGGTCATGGGGAATCTGAGCCCTTCATACAAGAAGGATGCAGCCTGTTACAAAGGGCGCATTCAGAAAGTGGATAAAAGTTAAGTAAGCAGATCCTTATATTCAAAGCACAAAGCATAGCCTTACTTATTTTCTGAGGAGTTGGGGGGGATTAAAATATACTGGTGTGATCTTCTTGACAATAACTTGATTGCTTCTCCCCAGGGAGAAGACTGAAATGATTCGATCCTATATCCAGGAGGTGGTGCAGTACATAAAACGGGTACGTGAGGCCATATGTCTTACTTTTCATGTCGGGATTTGAAATACCAGCTTTTGTATTTTAGGTCATCTTAAACTGCAGATTCTAAGCTTCAGCATAAGGAATAATTTATACAGCTGCTGAAATGGAAAAAGCATTCTATGAGCTCTATGAGTAAATACAAGTCAAAGAACCTCATTAAAGGTGTTAGCTTTTCTGAAGCTGTAGGTGGTTTACACTGGCTGAATGTGTGCCCTGCGGTGTTGTGATGTGTGAAATCGCTATGAAACATATGCCACTATTGAATTTTGTCTTTATTTCGGTACAGAGAGAGTTCAGTTCAAAAGCTGGCCCATTTTTGCTCACCAGAGGCCTTGATTCAGGAAGCAACCTAAAGAATTAGCAAATAAACTATCCCTAATTCCTGCTGGAGGCAGACATGTGTCTGAGCGCTTTGTTAAACGGGGCCCCAAATCTATCAGCATGTTCATTGAGGACTCTAGGATGCAAATCCTCTTCTTCTGGGAAGAGGGGCCATCTCACCCAGCTTCTACAATAAAAACTAAAGCAAAATATTAGGAGGTTTAAAATGCATTCTGCTTTTAGTAGCATTGAAAGTCTACAGTAAGTCCTTGAGACATTTCTGATTCTGAATCCCACGTGTGACACCTGAGATACATTGTCCACATGCAACCATTAGCGCAGTTGTGCTCACAGCTGCTTGTGACAATGGTGTGTAATTTGATATAAGAATTATTTGGTTTTGAGGATAGAATGAAATATTTGTTGGGGAAGAGGTGGGAAAGTGAGGATGTGCAGTCTCTGAATGATTTCCTGCTCTTTTCTTACAGCTAGAAGATGCTCAGAGTAAAAGACAGGAGAAACTTGTAGAAAAACACAAGGAGATCCGTCAGCAAATACTGGATGAAAAGCCTAAGGTAAAGAGTTTTTGCACATAAGTTGTACTGCTAAAAAATGTCCTTCAGGAAAGAAAGTGTTCTCGCAGCAGGTAGGCTGATGTTTAAGCATAAGAAAGTCCATTCACAGCATCATAGCCACTGTCTAATATTCAGGATGGAAAAAAGTCATGTAGCAGCCTAGTATGGAGCACCACTTCAAGTCCAGATGTCATACAGTGGGGTTTGGTTTTTAGTACTCACGGTTACAAAGCTTTCGGTGTAAATGGTGCTTCTGACCAGCAGAGTGTGCCCTTCATTGTGCTTTAGCAGCACAAAACCAAAACACAGTTTACATTGAAAAGAAAAAGAGATATCTTTTTAGCATGCTTGCCGCAGCTATTTGTGATAATTGATGAGGATGTACTTCTGTGGAAAACAATGAGCATTTTCATGATACTAGTGCTTAATATTCTACACTGCTTGCTGGATTTCCTCTGTTTGATGTTGTGCACTGCATCTGCATGCAGTATTCTGAAGTACCGTTTTTGATCTGCCATTGAAGTCAGTGCAGAAGGTTCAGAGTCCTCCACTTGTACTTGATTTTCCTGTAGGAACACCTTGGTAACTGTATAATCAGAGTTCTGCACAGAGGGAGACTTCTTTTCAGCAGAGTTCATATCCAAGTATGATTCTTCACAGCCCATTGTGTCCTCTCTGGGTTTTTTTTCTGCACTTGTTCCAATGTGTGTTCTAGGCTTCACTTTTCATTTCTTGTCTGTGTCCACAGTCCAAATGTTTCCGTGCTTGTATTACAGCTTGAATTCTAGCATTGGGTGTGAGCTAATCAGTGTTGTCATGTCATTTCTGTGAACTACCCAGAGAATAAACTAGGGTAAGGCTTGAATAGCTCTGGCAGAATAAGAAATGTTAGTGATTCTGATTTTCTACTTATCCTTTGTAAGTCCTGTTTACAAATAAGCTGGAAGCTCTTAATGTCATGGGTGTAAAGACTATATATCATATTATGGTTTATATTTGGTGCTGTAGGTTCATGAGTGTCTCAGGCATGTGAACTAAAAAGACTGGAATTTAAATGTTCAAATAATCTGCTAGCACTTCCAGCAGTGGGTTTTCACAGATCCTTGGGCACTTGGTTACTTCTTTGTGTCATGTCCTCTCTTCATTTTATCTTGATTTTATTAGCATAAAGCACTGAACATTTGTCACTAAGGATTTGGCTTGCATTTGAAAGATTATGCTGGACTGGTAGCTTAGACTCCTCCATCAGCTGTCCACATGCCAAGCGTTAGGTCATGGAACAGAGCTGCTCCAGATCCCTTGTCTTCCCCTGCATCTGGCCATCAGTTAAAGCGCTGCAGCAATCTGCGCTCCTCAGTCAGCACCCTCCATTTCTCCTGAGCAAACCCTCTGCAGCAATGTGCCTCACAGAGCCTGGCTGCCCCGTGTTCCTTTCCCACAAACTGAAATGGGCTGAATTTATGATGGTATTTGCCTCTTGCTGGCATGAGAGGATTTAGGGAAAACCTAATTACTCATTTTATGAAGTCTTTTTTTATGTTTTGCCTCATGTTCATTTTTCATATCCCTATTTGCTTCCTCAGTGACAGGGCATATGATATAAAATAGATCAAATGATTTCCCAGCTGAGACCCACCAATGGATTTTGTGCAAACTGCAGCATTTCTAGGCTGATCTCTCGTGCTTCAGTATTCAAACGCGCACTAAAATTGATGCTAGCTGTGTTAAAAGGGTTTTCTGGCAGTAGCAACTCAAGCCCTAAACAAAGCGTTTAATATATTAAGAGGGAAAGAATTTTTAGTGTTTTTACCAATAGTTCCATTGGAGACAGATTTGCCATCATCCATCACTGTCATTGAGTTATGTATTAGTGACTCACAGTTTGTTGCGTTAGGACTTTGAGCACAGAGCTCTGTCCTAGCCAGGAAGAGTATCGTGTCACAAAGTGCTGCCAACAGGCTGCCACACCACTGAGCCTTACTTAGGTTTTGAAGTCTGAGTTTGCAGCTTCCCCTGTTGTGGTGTGCGTGGGTCACCAGAAGAAAACTTGCCTCAGAGTGCTGACATTTTAGACGACAGCTTTAGAAGCTGCACAAACTGGATGCAAATCAGTTCCCTGCACTGGAGGCAGAGGGCTTGCTTGTTGTTTAAAATGTCATGTGCTTAGATGAAAGTATTTAACTCAGGATTGATTTAAAACCTTAAACTCTGCTTCTCCCTCGTGTTTAGAATGTCTTCTTAGTGTTTGGATGTGAGATTTTTGCATCTTTCATTTGCAGGGCTGTTGTATATGGAAAACCTTTTTTTCTCATATAACACTTGAGACTTCCTGAATTGATACTTTTAGGCAAAAGGATGGAAATACTTCTTCAGCTTCTTGTGGTCCTGCTGAAGTCAGTGTAGGCATTGGCTTTGATGAACCCAAAAGGTCACACTGTATCTGTGTAAGTAATGAGGATATCTTTATGACACGCTGATGCTGTAGAAATGAGAAATTGAGCAGTATCATCAACTCTGTGTGTGTGTGTATGGAAACAGGGCAGCCACTCCCACGATGATCACCTAACTAGCAAGTCAAATACCAACTGACTCTAGGTCAAAACATGTCTAACTTGCCATTTTAGTGAAAGCACAGTGGAAACAAAGCTCAGATGCTCTCCTGCTATGTCTTTCCCAACAGCATCATTACCAAGCCAGGCCATATCTATTTTCTTCTCTCTCACTCCTCTTTTTTTTCCTTACAATATCTACTGGCAGCTTTATTACCAGCAACAGCTTGTATGTTTTTTTCTCCCCCATTCTAATTCTTTGTCTCCTCCTCTTAGTCACTGATACACATTAAGCTTGTCCAGTCCTTATCTTCTTCCCCTTGGGCATCTATTCTGCGTGCTGGGGAGGCTGCTGTAGAAAGACAGCTCTTTGCACCACCGTGCTGAATTCTGTATGTTAGAACAGTGTGTGTTTTCAGATTCTCCACCACAGCAGGTGGCTGGCACTTATCTAAGCACAGAGGAGTGCACCGAGGATGATCCTGGTCATTGCGTCTCAATTTCTCTGTCCTTGACAGCTTGTGCATCGAATTAAACATAAATCAAGTGCATTTCCTCCTCCCCTCCCTTGCCTCCAATTTCATTGTAATTACAAAAATCAATACACACGAGACATGACAAAGAATTAATTATTTTTCTGAGAATCGACTCAGTTACAGTAAATAGACCCAAGCCTCCTCTAATTGAAATCAATGAGACTTTTGTTATTCATACTCATGGGTCAGAGTTACACTGAAATCTCAGTACAATAGCTGAGACGCCTGTGCTCCTGCCGTCAGCTCCTGCTACCAGCCCAGTTACCCTGACTCTTTTGGCTTCAGTGGACCATATTCTGTCAAGGAAGATGTAACTCATGTGGTTCCTCATGTTGTAGCCCACATTCATGTTTCTGCTCACACGTACTCTACTGTTCACAGCCACAGCTTAGCCAGTTCTGACAGACGGTGTGGGCTCCTGTAGAGATGTGGAAAATGGTGCTGTTCAGGGTGAGGCTTTACCTGTGGGAAAAGGCCCAGCAGATCTACAGAGGCACCATAAGCCGTGCAGACTTTCTTCTAAGAGCTGCGTCTCTGTGTTCTTTCAAACAAATGAGGAGAATATAGTTCTAAGGTATAAAATTCCTTTTTCTCTTCAGAAAATATAATGAAAACCATTTTTAAAGATGATAAATCAGTCCTTGATAATGGAAAATCCAAGCATCTGATGCATGCTAACTCACTTTCAAAGAACGTACATTTATTATCTCCCAATTTGACGTGTTATTAATTGCACCCCGTGGGAGTCAACACTTCTACATCCAATCAATAATTAACATTAGCACTGTACCTGAAAAACTTAAGGGGACATAAAATGCTACATAATCAAGTTATAGAACAAATTAACAAGGTGTTGATCCTTTATAGCAGTAAGCCTCTTATAGCTCCAGTGTCATCTTTCTATTACACAGGGCGGGAGGGGCCTCCAAGTTCTTTCTTCTCAGGGCTGGCTGCTTTTACAGTCACATACCATGTAAGCCTGTTGATGGAACAGCGCTGCACAACAACGCCTTCCTTCTGGGTGTTATTTAAAGGGGGATGTTTGAAAACCCAGTGAATGATTTCATAGATTTCAGATCGATGCTTTCTGATTCGTTAGAATACCCGAAGCCCATTGATCTTTGCGAAGGTTACAACTTGTCATATGTGCTTTATGTGCAACTGCGTGGTCATCTTCATGAGATGATGTCAGTGAGTTAAGTGGAGCTGCTACTGACAGCAAGGTCAGCGGTATCACCGCCCTAACTTCACAAAGAGGTCAAGTACAGCAAATGTATTTCACAGCCCTTTGAGATCTTATTTCAGTTAACCTCAGAGCTCAGAGCCACTCTATTAGCTCATCTGGAGAGAGCAGCTCTTGGGACTTTGATGACTATTCCAGTGTCCTTTCAGCTCACGGCATAATTCACAGTAACAATGCACTGTCCACCACAATCCTTGGGTTTTTTTCTCTTTTACACCTCTGTTGGAAGCCAAGCTGCCTTTTGGGCTAGCTGCACTTAATTCAAACCCTTCCAAATGCATTCCAGTTCAACCACAGGCAACTCTTCAAGAATTCTGGGGAAAGAGTTTGGAAGAAAAGGTTATTTCAGTTTACTGACTTTCATGGGACTTTGCATTGAATGGATTGGGATTGAATGGGGTAAAGTTGTCTTCCTACAGTAATATTGAGCTTCATTGCAAAAAGGCATGAAAAAAATGAGTTGATAGGGTGATATTTGAAAATTTCTCCTTTTATTTTCTCCCTGTTTAGGTAAAAATTAACTCTTTTGTCATTTAATTCAAACATTTGTGAAGTTGAAAAAGAAACCTCTTCTGAATCTATGGCTGCTAAACTGAGATTCCTTATGGCACTATGTGCCAAGAAAGCAGAGAGTTAAGGGGGTGAAATAATTTACTGTTTGCTTCACTGCTC